CCGTGGCTCGAGATCCCCACAGCCTCTGGGTGGGCTGGGAACCCCCCAGCCCTCGGCCTCGGGGCTATGTGATTGAGTGGGGCCTGGGGCCCCCCAGCCCCAGTGGCAGCAATAAGAGCTGGAAGATGGAGCATAACGGAAGCATTTCTGGGACCCTGCTGCAGGGTGAGGGGCAGCGTGAGGCGGGCCCAGGGGGCGGGGCAGGCTGGGGGCGGGGGGGGGCGGGGGGGGGGCGGGGGTGGGCGTGCTGGGCCTGGGAAGCAGGGAGGCAGTGCTGGTCTGACAGCAACGGCAGCCTGAAACAGCCCAGAGAAGCGGACTCCCCAGTCTTTCTAGACTCTTACCTTCATTTCCTATCCCCAGAATCAGGACATTCTTCTCTCAATCTAACCGGACTCTCTTTTCACAGCCCTGGCCCTGCCACTTTTCTAGCTTTCCCACTTTTCTGCCCTTACCCCCTATCAAATGATCAGAAGAAGAGATAGAGGCTAGCTCTGCAGCATGAGGCCTGGGTTATCCCCAGCTGGAGGTCTGAGGTTAGCTCATGATCATCTGCAGAGGTCAGCCCCTCACCAGGGGGCCTGCCCCATCTTCTCTCTACAGAGAACATCAGGCCCTTTCAGCTCTACGAGATCACTGTGACCCCCCTCTACCAGGACACCATGGGACCCTCCCAGCACATCTATGCCTACTCCCAAGAGATGGGTGCGTCAGCCACCTGGCCCCTCCCAGAATCCTCTCCTCTCAGTGCCTGCCTGGGCCCCAACACTCAGGACGATGAAGGAACATTTCCTTCGTCCCCCACTGCTGGCCCAGAAGAGGCTCTTTCCCAACCCCAAGACTACCCCGGCTTACACTGGACCCCTGCAACCAGACAGAAGTCAGGTGGTGGGGTGACAGAAATTAGGAAGTGGGTTTAGCAGAATTCGGGAAGCAAGTCTGACAAAAATCGATCAACTGCCCTGACAGAAATCAAGTGTCATGTGTGGCAGAAATTAGACAGAGGGCCTGGCATAAAGTCAGAGAGTAAGCGGCAGAAATCAGATAGTGAGCCCAACAAAATCAAGCCTGGCAGAAATCAGGCGGCGAGGCTTTGGAGTCAAAGAGAAGCAAGTTCAAATCCTGACTCAGCCATTTTTAGCAGTCGATGGAATTCAGTCGAAGGTCCTGGCAACATGAGGCTTAAGGCACAAGTCCCCCTGGACTCTCTTTTCTTACTCCCCACCACAGTGTGTCTCAGTTCTGGAGTCCGGGGAGCCACAAGATATCTCGCTGGGCTCTCCACTGTGCTCTGCTCCACATCAGCCCCTGTACCTCTCTCTTCCGGCAGCCCCCTCCCACGCCCCAGAGCTGCATCTAAAGCACATTGGCAAGACCTGGGCCCAGCTGGAGTGGGTGCCCCAGGCCCCCGAGCTGGGGAAGAGCCCCCTTACCCACTACACCATCTTCTGGACGAATGCTCAGGACCGGTCCTTCTGTGAGTCTCTCCTCAGCACCCCACAGCCCCAGAAGGCCTGGGAGGGGGGACATGGGGTGGGGGGGCCCTCAGCAGCCTTGGAGGGAGCCTCAGCATCTGGGCCCAGGCTGACCATTCTCTTGCACTCCCAGCCACTGTCCTGAATGCCTCCTCCCACGGCTTGGTCCTCCACGGCTTGGAGCCTGCCAGCTTGTACCATGTCCACCTCATGGCTACCAGCAAGGCCGGGGCCGCCAACAGTACAAGCCTTACCCTGATGACCTTGGCCCTAGGTAAGAGCAGAAATGGGCCGGCCAGACAAGGCTGCTGGGAAGGTTCCTCACCCAACAGATCTTTCATCTGGAGGCTTTGCCTGGATCCACTGGTCTGAGGGAGGAGACCCAGCCCTGCCCATGAAGCTCAGCCTGAGGGAGGAGGCCCAATCCTGCCCTCAGAGCCTAATCTGAGGGAAGAGACCCAGCCTTACTCGCATGCACTCTAATCTCTTCTGGCTTTCCCCTCACCCCAGAGGAGTCTGAGCTGCATGTCCTCCTGGGCCTATTTGGCTTCCTACTCTTGTTCACCTGCCTCTGTGGGGCGGCCCGGTTCTGCTGCAGACCCAGGTGAGTCCTTTCAAGAGACCTGACACCTAGCTACCCCTGACCACAGGGAACTGCAGGCTGGAGTGGGCCAATCCAAGTCCCCCTTCACCTTCGCAGGCCTCAGGGCCCATGTCTGGATCAGGCCCTGCACCAACTCCTCTCTGCCCAAGGGGCCTTCAGCTGCTGGGAGTGGGTGGGAGAAAGAAATGGGAGGGCATGCCTGACCCAGCCTTCGTCTGCCGTCTTCTGCAGCAGGAAGAATCCCCTCTGGCCAAGTGTCCCAGACCCAGCCCACAGCAGCCTGGGCTCCTGGGTGCCTACCATCATGGTGGAGGTGAGAACCCCAGAGGGAGAGGGAAATGGGGCTAGGGGTGCTGGTCCAGGCTCAAAGTGAAAGGACACTCCTCCGAGGATGAAGACTCAGGCTTCCCCAACACTTCCTAGCAAGGTCCCCTCCCCCACCCCCGGAGGAAAGCAGATCTGAGTTTGAATCCCAGCTGGTCCAGGCTCAAAGTGAAAGGATACTCCTCCAAGGACGAGGACTCAGGCCTTCCCATCACTTCCTAGCAAGGTCCCCTCCCCCTGGAGGAAAGCAGATCTGAGTTTGAATCCCAGCTCTACCCATTTCAAAGCCTCGGCCATCTCAGTGTGAAATGGGACGTATCTCACACAGAATCGCTGGGGACATTCACCAAGCTAAGTCTGAAGCACACAGCACGTGTCAGGAAAGTATAAGGCACTTTACAAGTGTCATCCTTTGGGTTCCAGCAGAGAGCAGGAGGAATAGCCCCACAACTGCCCCAACACAGGAAGGGGCAGTGGTTGGGATGAACATCTGAAAGGAATCATGCCCTCACCCTATGTCCTTGTGTCCAGGAGACCTTCCAGCTGCCCAGCCTTCGGGACTCCGGCATGCCACCCATCACCAAGATCACGGTGCTGGAGGAAGAAGAAAAAAAGCCAGGGCCCTGGGAGTCCAATGACAGCTCAGGGACCTGTGGCCTCCCCACCCTGGTCCAGGCCTATGTGCTCCAGGGGGACCCACGAGCACCTTCCACCCAGCCCCAGGCCCCGTCTATCACCAGTGACCAGGTCCTTTACGGGAAGGTGCTGGGCAGCCCCACAGGCCCAGGTCCAAGGCACTACCTCCGCTGTGACTCTGCTCAGCCCCTCCTAGGGGGCCTTACTCCCAGCCCCCAGTTTTATGAGAACCTCTGGTTCCAGACTAGCCCCCTGGGGACCCCAGAGCCCCTCATCCCAAACCAGGAGGATGACTGTGTCTTCGGGCCATTGCTTGATTTCCCCCTCCTGCAAGGGCTCCAAGTCCATGGAGTGGAGGGGCTAGGGGGTGTCTAGTGCTTCCTGGGACCCCCTCCTGGGCCTGCCTCTTGAAAGGCCTGGGCTGTGCAGAGGAGAGTGTCAGTAAGCCCATCATGAAAAAAATCACCTAGCCCCAGAAGGGCAGAAAGAGTACCAGGATCTCCCTAACTCCGGCCCCCAGCACCCTTCCTCTATCTCCCCAGTCCCCACAGGCTGGGCCTCTCACTCGGGTGGCCAGAGAATGTTTCATCCAACCCTGCCCACTAGGCTCTTGTGCTTATTTCCTTTAATTTCAGTCCCTTAAACTGATCCATGGTTTGGTTTGGTTTGATTTTGAGAAACTCTTGAGTGTGCCTTCGCCTCTGTTCTTTCTCTTTCCAGGGCCCTAGCAGTGATGGGGGTACTTATCAGAAGTGTTCATTTGTGTACTCCTTCCTTCACTCATTCATTCCACCAGCCCTCACCTAGCATGTAGGCTGTGTGCTAGAAGCAGGGATTCAAAAATGATTTGGCTCAGTCCACCCTCAAAGGGCTCCCACTCTAGTGGTAGAGACTTGAAGACTGGCCATTAGGGCACAGTGGTCAGGGTTGAGGGGGGTCACAAAGTGCTGTGGGACATGGGGAATAGACCTCAGAAAAGACTAACCCCTGTTGGAGAAATATAATTAAAAACAAAATCTACAGGGGCACCTGGCTGGCTCAGTGGGTGGAGCAGGCAACTCTCGATCTCGGGGTTGTGAGTTTGAGCCCCATGTTGGGTGTAGAGATTGCTTAAAAATAAAATAGTAAAAAACATAAACTCTCTGCCAACCTAGAAACCCTCTCCACGAGGGTAGAAGAAGGCAAAATCAGTTTTATTACTGAATGAACGTTAAACCAGAGCAAGGTTCTCTCCCTCTGTGATGTGATGTGCATCACCAGCAATCCCCTAAAGAGTTTGAAAAGACAGAAAGAAATCTTACCTTTGTATATAGCCAAGTGGATACACGTTATTGCATGCATTTTCTCGAGACAGATAATACCTAGTCCTCAAGCAAAAGGACTTTACGGCACCATCTGTCACACGGAGTTCATCCTAAATTCACCTGGTAAGTGGGGTAGCCACCCGTGTTTGCTAATTCCCTTTATCCCAAAGAAAACAAAATTTCTCATATCTTTATGAGAAGAGGCAGGTTGGCAATTTAGAGCCAGGCAGAAACCGGGAGACAGGGCCACTGTCTTCCTTAATGATTACATTTCAAGAGATGGCTCCTAGATCCTTTAAACATTCCCGTGCTGTAAAACTAGCAAGAGGCTTATTTAGTTTTTGAAAAGATTTACATAGGTCTCAAAAGGACAGAGAAATAATTCACAATTACAACTTTTCAAAAGTAAATGCTTTAAGAAAAGTGAGGGGGAGGAGAGCTTTTTCCCTTTTTGCACCAAGGGAGAATTAAAATGTTATTTTTATTTCTTTTTTTTTTAAGATTTTATTTATTTATTTGACAGAGAGAGACACAACGAGAGAGGGAACACAAGCAGGGGGAGTGGGAGAGGGAGAAGCAGGCTTCCCGCGGAGCAGAGAGCCCGATGCGGGACCCGATCCCAGGACCCTGGGACCATGACCTGGGCCGAAGGCAGACGCTTAACGACTGAGCCACCCAGGCGCCCCAAATGTTATTTTTATTTCATTCAAAATTTATTTTTCCTGCTTTTAATTTGTAGTTGTCTTTACACCCCTCATTTCACAAATATTATCATAGCAAATACTTACTTAATGCCTACTGTATAGCAGGCAGGTCCCTTGCACACAACTGCCTCAGTTAATACCCCAACAACATAAAGAGTAGGTACTGTTATTCCCATTCCCGTTTGATGAATGAGTACACCGTGGCCCAGAAAGGTGGGGTGGTTTGCCCACAGGATCACAGTGAGTAAACAGCTGAGCTTCAATTCCAGCCCTGAGCTGTCTCATTCCAAAATAAACGACCTTCATCACGAGGCTTACAAGGCTGCCCGAGAGGAGGCTGAATGAAACCCAGTAGCTCTTACGGGGCCTCATCCTGGAACGCGGTGGGAGAGGAGGTAGAAAGACTAGGTTGGGGGAGAAGACTAAGGCAGGCCCTAAGAAAAACCTCCAAAAAACCGCGGCTCAAGGTCAGGAACATAGAGTGGGATGAAGGGTGGGATGCATGCCCAAGAAAAAAAACGGCATCTTGGAATTTATACAGCACCGCACACCACTAACCAGGCCCGCAACCACCCAGCCTCCTGCCCTGCGCCGCTGCTAAACTGACCTCTCCCCTGGACCCAATCCCGCCGCACCCCGAGTCTCGCCTTTCTAATCCATTGTCTCGGTCCTCATCTGCTCCGGTCTCGCAACTGCGCTCCATTGGTCGAGCCTGAGCCAGCATGGCGGCGCCCATGTAACACGGTTTGTCCCGCGAAAGGGACGGCGGCCGTGGCGCCGGCCCCGCGCGGTCACAAGTCACCATGCTGAGGACGGCGTGGAGGGCGCTGAGGTCGCTTCGGACCCAGGCAGTGGCCCAGGCCCCAGTCCTTGGGCTGCCGGGCGGAGCGTGTGCCAGGCCTCCCTCCCTCCAGTGGGGCCTTCCCTCTCCTCGCGGTGAGGCGCAGAGAAGCGGGGCAACGCGAGGAGGGAAGTGGGGTTGGACGGGAATGGAGGACACGGGGGACGAGGATAGGGGAGGAGAGCAGCGGCAGGATGAGGGAGAAGGGCCGGTGGGTGGGGAAGAAGGAAGACGAGGTGGGAGACGCGTGGGGCAGCGGGGTGCGGAAGAACTGGCGCGGCGGTTAGACGCCGAGGCGCAAAGACCATGCAGGAAGGGTAGTGCAGGGGCCAGAGAAAGGAATGGAGGCTGGGCTAGTTAAGGAGATGGCCTGAGCCCTCGCTCTTCTGCGTAGGTGTCGTCCTCCCGGCCGTTCGCGGATATGCCACCCAGAAACCACCAGGTAGGAGCTCTCCGGTGGGACTTAGGCAGAGAGGGACTGCCTGGAGGGGCGCCGGGTGGCCAAAGGGAAGGAGGTGGCTAGTTAGAACCACTTGATGGGGTGGGCAGACGCGTAGGCCAGAGGTCCTGAGCAGAAGACCCCCACGTCCGCCTTGCCACCAGGCTGTAGCCTGAAGCCTGTCTGGTGTGGGGGAGAGGCGGGGGGCGGGGATGCGGAGCGGGAGCCTGCGGACTGGGTTTGAGTGAGAATGAGCTAGCCCGAGGGAGGGCGTGCTGGCACCACCCAGGTCTACCTAGAGTATAGGTAGACGCTTGGTGTCCTTCTGAGGTGGAGGGCTTGGTTTCCCATTTCAAGGCAGTCTGCATGGTGGGAAGATCTCTCTTCCTAGGTAAATGATACTGGGCAAGTTACTTCCTCTCTCTCAGTCTCATTCTAAAACGATTATAAAAGTATCTATTTGAAAGGATTGTTGTTAGGGTTCAGTGCTAACACGTGAAGAGACACTCTTTGTACTGGGTGCAAAACATGTAGTATATATCAGCATTTATTGCTGTGATTTGCATAGCGGCAGAGCAGGGTCGGACTGGAGAGGGCCAGTTGATCTCCCTGGTGCCTCTCCCTCACCTCCCAGGGAATATGACACACACCAAGGCTGAGAGTTTCCTATATGTGGTCTTGGTGCTTACTGTGTCCTAAAGCTCGGGGCCCTCCTCAACCCCCTTATTTCATTCATGCCCTCAGCCAGCAAGTGTTTGTTGAGCATCTGTTTTATATGAGGCCATGGACCAGACCAGGGGATTCAAAGAGAGTCAAACTCAGACCATCCACAAAAGGACCCATTCTGGTGGGGAGTCTAAAGTGGTGTGAGAGGTAAAGGCACAATATAGGACCTTAGGAAAGGTCATCTACTCCCAGTGTGAAATATCAAGACAGTTGACTGCAGGGTTTGCAAAGGAGAGGCTGAGCCCAGAGATCTCTGGTGCCTTGCTTGAGGCCCTGGGTGTCTGTGACAGAGTTGGTGAAGAGAGTCAGGACGGGAGGATGGGCAGTGAGAGTTGACTCTGGGTGTTTTTTGTCCCTACTCTTGACAGTCCAGCCCAGCCAAGAAGATGACCCGCCGCCTTCCACGCTGCTCAAAGACTACCAGAACATTCCTGGAATTGAGAAGTAAGCAGAAAGAAATCTCTTTGATGAGGCAGGGGGCCCTAAGAGGATTGGGGAGGAGAGAGGGAAGACAGTGGCTTTGAGGCCTGGCCCGCTGTATCTGAGGCTTGAAGATAGAACCGGGCAGAGAGCTACTGAAGCCCGGGCTTGATGAGGGGCAGCAGGGGCAGAAGGGAGTTCATGGAGCTCAACTGCTTGCCTTTTTTTCTATTGTGGTTCAGATAGAGGGAGGCAACATTGCAGGGCTGAAAGACATCAAAGCCAGGATTCTTCTGCTCAGCCCCTGCCCTATACAGCGAGAGCTGGACAGTCCCTTCCACCATACTGTGTGACAGGGGTAAAAAACAATGATTATAGAATTGAAATGTCTCAAGACAGACTGGCTGAACCATATTCTAGCTGAAATGAAAATCCTCCCTTTGGGGGCGCCTGGGTGGCTCAGTTGTTAAGGGTCTGCCTTCCGCTCAGGTCATGATCCCAGGGTCCTGGGATCGAGCCCCGCATCGGGCTCCCTCCTCTGCAGGAAGCCTGCTTTTCGCTCTCCCACTCCCCCTGCTTGTGTTCCCTCTCTTGCTGTGTCTCTCTCTGTCAAATAAATAAATAAAATCTTAAAAAAAAAGAAAGAAAGAAAATCCTCCCTTTGCCCTCCCAGTGAGGAGCCTGGAACAGTCAAGCTGACAGCCCCAATTTTGTGCAGTTAACACATCATTCCATATTCTCAGCACAGCAAATCAGATTCTGGCTGACTTTTAATCCCTGAGAAATGGCTCCCCACTTCCATAGAGACACTTTTGTTATAAAAGAAATTTTCAGTCATTCTTGCTTTTCCAAACTAAAACGTAACCAGCATTGATTCCCTTGTCCCCTCTCCCCCACACCTGTCTCTCATTGCTATGCTTTTCCCACAGGTTTGACGATGTCGTGAGAAGACTCTTGTCTTTAGAAATGGCAAACCAGGTAAGTGACCTGTGCTAAACCTCGGCCTCTCCCAGTCCTCTCCTCTGGGACTCCCTCCTACCGTGGTAACACCTCCATCCCATGCTTCTCAACTCACAGCATTTATCCCACTGTCATTCTGGGTCCACTTGTCCATCCCCCAGACCAAGCATCTCTAGGGCAGGCGCTGTCTTGTTCTCTCATTGTATCCCTAGCACCCAGCACCCAACAAACAGTAGGTACTCCGTAATGATCTAATGCCTGAATGACTGAGCATGGTTTGGAGACCCTCATCTAAAAAGCTATGTCACCTGTCATTGGCCTTGGGCTCACCTAGGTGTGAATAGCCATGGGCTGACCAAAGGCCATGCCCTGGTGAACAGAGTGAAGCCAGGTGCTGAGCTTTGTGGCCTAGTTTCTATGACTGCAGCCAGGGCATTCAAGGTATGAAGGCTAGTTCTTAGTGGGTGCCAGACCTCACAGATTCCCTGTCTCTCTCTTCAACAGAAGGAGAAGCTAAAAATCAAGCAACAGCAGCTGATGAACAAGATTGTGGCAAACCCTGAGGACACCAGCTCCCTGGAGGCTCGAAGTTGGTCAGGGGGCCCTTGGGGAGTGGGAATGCAGGGGAGTCTGCTAGCTGGTACTCGATCCAGGGCCCTTATCTACAAGGGCACCAGGTATTAGATGTGGCTTGATGAAGCGAGAGACAAGAAGGACCCAGGGCAATGAAAACTGGACTCTGTGTTGCTGGAGTCAGCGCCCAGGTCCCACCTCATACCTCTGTTGTGAGCTCATGCAAGTCTCCTCAGAACCAAAGCTTGTCTCTGTGTCTCTCTTACTGTGCAGCTAAGGTGGTGCAAAGGGCCAGGTGATCAGGACCAAGGTTCCACCTCACTCTACAATGCTGCCAAAACTCAATGTGTATACAGGAAGGGCCTGCTGTAGTGAGAGCATCTCCTTGGGGCCACCTTCCGCTTCTGCCTTTGCCCGCATCTTTGCAGTACAGGCAGGAATCAAACAAGAGGCTACCTAAGGGAGGATATTGCAGGGCTTTAGGAGAGGAGTGGGAGCTGATAATTCTGAAAACTCACTAGTGAAAACAGAGTTAAGGGTGGCAGCTGGAAGGGGAGAGGCAAGGAGTAGACCCTTGACAGTTCTGGAATCTAATCTTCCTGCATTGGCTAGGACCGCCAGCACAGTGTTGAATCATTAAGAACGATAGCGTGAAATTCTAAGTTCTACTGTAATAAAATTGATTTGTCTTGGTTAAAAAAAAAAAAAAAAACCATAGCGTGTATCGTAGACTAATTCCTGAACGTAATAGGAATGCTCTGAAGTTTTACCATTAAGAATGCTATTTGTGGGGCTCCTGGGTGGCTCGGTCATTAAGCATCTGCCTTTGGCTCAGGTCATGATCCCCGGACTCTGGGATCAAGCCCTGAGTCAGGCTCTCTGCTCAGTGGGGAACCTGCTTCTCCCTCTCCCACTCCCCCTGCTTGTGTTCCCTCTCTCGCTGTGTCTCTGTCAAATAAATAAATAAAATCTTAAACAAAAAAAAAATACTATTTGCGATGGTCTGGAAATGATACCTTTATAAGATTAAGGAACGTTCCGGGACGCCTGGGTGGCTCAGTCAGTTAAGCGGCTGCCTTTGGCTCAGGTCATGATCCCAGGTTCCTTGCTCAGCGGGGCTCAGGTCCTCAGGCTCCTTGCTCAGTGGGGAGCCTGCATCTCCCTCTGTCTGCCGCTCCCCCTGCTTGTGCTCTCTCTGTGTCTCTCTGACAAAAAAGTAAAATCTTTAAAAAGATTAAGAAACGTTCCTTCCTTAGGGTTTGCTTTCTGAGGGAAAGATAATCCAAAGTCTTCTGAGATCTTGAAATTCAGAGTGCTTTGGGAATTGTAGAGAGCTGCACCAGAGCATTGGTGATTGTTATTCCTTGAGGTCTTAAAACATAACCCAGGCCCAGGCCCTTCCTTCCTCTGTGCCAGCTCTCATCCTCTGTGGTTTGTGGTTTCAGTTGTTGCTTTGACTGTCAAGATCCGCAGTTACGAAGAACACATGCAGAAACATCGAAAGGTAAACTTTAGGCATCGCTCACGGCTAAGCACCAGCAGCCAGGGAAGAGGAGTCTAAGAGGTTAAGGGCCCTGGGTCCAGAGAACCAGCTGGAGAAGCCAAGTGGCTACAACACCAGGGTGCCCATCCCTCAGCTGCAGTGGGGAAAACATTTCCCTCCTGCCTCCAGTGGGAAATGGGAGCCTTACAGGGCACCACTGAGTGTCACCCACGGTCAAGAACACAAACTTCAGGACGCAGTTGCAGTGTCTGGCACATAGTGGGTGCTCAGTAAATATTTCTTGAATATTCTTGGACTTGGTTCAGATTCTCAGCTTTGCCATTTCCACTAACCAGATGTGTGACTTTGGAGAAGTTCCTTTACGTGCCCAAGCCTCAGGTCTCCTGTGTGTAAAGTGGGGATCACAGACGTACCTGCTGACAGGATTGCAATGACTATGTGAAATAATAAAGCACCAGCGTGGTCATGTGAAGTACTGGCCTTGTGCTGAGTACTTCACATACATCAGCTCGTTTAACCCTTATAACTATCCTATTCCATTTTATAGGGGAACGATCCAGGCATGGGGTGATTAGGTTCTTCCTCAAGGCACAGCACTGGGAAATGATGTGCTAGGACTTGAAACTGGGGGTCTTGCTCCAGGCCACACACTCTTAACCATGATGCCATATCCCAGCACAGCACTGGGCACAGAGCTGCTGTAATTAGGCAGCTGCAGGTACTTTTAACAAACGCACCATTGTAAGCCAGACTGGTCCCAGCACCATGCTGGGCTGGCACCTCAGTGTTCCCCAGAGCCGGCTGAGCCTGCTCTTTGGAGATGAGATTTTTGCTCATTTGGAGTGTGGCACAGCAGTCCCACTGCAGAGGTCTCTCACAGAGGAGCCCCAGGCCTTCTCTGCACCCAAGCTGACGGTTGGCTGAGCTGTGGAGAGGCTGTGCGGGGGGTGGTAGGGGAAAGAGCATGAGATTTGGAGTGAGACCCGTAGACGCAGATGCAAGACCTGACCTCACACAAGGGCCCTACCCTGCACAGTTCTAGCACGTTATATGAATCAGGTAGATACCTTTGAGCCTTTTCTTTGCCCTGTCTATAATATGGGAATAACAATGATGATACCTACCGCAGAATTACACTAATATTTGCGTCTGATTGTCAGGAAGTTCCAGTGAGATGATAAGGTGACCATCCTTTGTTACTGTAAAGTGGCATACCACTTATTTATATAATACTAAAAGTAATCCACCACCTCTCTCACAGGACAAAGCCCACAAGCGCTATCTGCTGATGAGCATTGATCAGAGGAAAAAGATGCTCAAAAACCTCCGGAAGACCAACTACAGTGTCTTCGAGAAGATATGCAAGGAGCTGGGGATTGAGTACATCTCTCCCCCTCTGTACCACCGGAAAGGCCACCGACGCTGGGCAGCCAAGAAGGCCCTGTGCATTCGGGTATGAGTCAGAATTTCTCTCTCCCTCTGCTACTCTGTCTCTCTTTCTCTCTCTGTCAGGTAAATAGATAAAATCTTTAAAAAAAAAAAAAAAAAAAAAGAATTGCTGCTTTGGTTGGCCCCGCTCTGGGACTGTGGTGGGGAGAGCAGCAGGGAGGGTTGTCTGTTCCTGCCTGAGGCACGGAACTGGCCCCATGCCCTGAGGAGACCCACAGGCCATCACCCGCACGGAGAAAGGCTGCGTGCCCATCCAGGGAGGTCCGTTCCCTCCCCACCTGTGCCAAGCCAGAGGTTCTGCATAGGATTACAGTCTCTTCCTGCTCCTTTTCATCCCCAGGTCTTCCAGGAGGTACAAAAGCTCAAGAAGCAAAAAAGGGCCTTAAAAGCTAAAGCAGCAGCGGCCCGGAAACAGAGCCAGAAGAACCCAGAGAGCCCTTCCAAAACTGGACCAGAGGCAGTCAAAGAAAACCAATAAATTTTATTTGAGTTCTGTCTCTCTGCCTTAAAGGATAATAGGAGAGAAGAGGGTCTCTGTGTGGCCTGAGGAGGAGGAGGAGGAATTTGTTCTTTCATTCAGCTCTGAGATCCCAGTCTTGTCAGAGGCAGAGCCTCTGACCTCACACACCAGAGGACACATTCTCACAACACACCTCACACACACTCATATAAACAGCACCCTGTGGTCCAGGCGACGTCCCTGCGGAGGTGAGGCCGAGTGCCCAGCCGCACAGAGGAAGTGTGGCCGGCTGATTGCCGGGTGAGTAGGCCAGCTATACGAGCTGCCTTCGGGACTGGACCCTGAAGGGTGAGTGAAAGTTCACGGGGCAGAAATGGGGTGGGAAAGCATCCTGGGCAGAAGGCATTGCAAGTGCAAAGCAAAGAAGTCCACAGGTGCATGCCATATTCAAGGAGCAGTGGGACCAGAAAGTAAAGCTGGACAGGTAAGCTGAAGCTGGGCGGTGAGAGGCTTGATGTGCTGGCTGCCCTCTAGGGAGCTGGGAGACAGGGTTTAAAACAAAGGAGTGATGACAGCACCAAGTCTGTATTTTAGATGGTTAAGCAGCAGCAGTGTGGAGGGTAAATGGGAGGGGGAGACACCAGAGCAATTTATTGTTTGGGGGTCAGGGGTACTGATGTTCAGATTGAGAGTCTGATAAAAGCTACAAGTCCTATCCCCAAGAAACTGTGCATATCCTTATAAATTCTGGGGAGTTATGGATACCCCTTTTCCTGCAAAACTCACCCATCCACGCCAAGTGAAATGTCAAGGCCTTGATGTCTGAGTATGCTTGGCATGTTTGAAGAACCCAAGGAAGACAGTGTGTCTAAAACTGAGTGAACAAAGAAAAGAGTAGGGAGAAATGAGGTCAGAGAGGAAAGCAAACACCAGGTAATAATAGAGTTTTCTGGGTGTATTAGTCTGTTCAGGCTGCCATTAAAAACCATAAACTGGTTTAAACAACAGAAACTTACTATCTCAAAGTTCTGGACGCTAGGAAGTCCAAGATCTAGGTGCTGGTCAATTTGGTTTCTGGTGAGGAATCTTTCTGGCTTACAGACAACTGCTTTCTATGTCCTCACATGCAAGGGGGGGGGGGAGATCTCTTCCTGTTCTTATAAGGGCACTAATCCCATCGTGAGGACCCTACCTTCATGACCTCATCTAATTCGTTACCCTGGGGCTTAGAGCTTTGATACACGAATTTGGGGAGGTATACAAACATTCAGTCCACAACAGTGGGGAAAAGACTTTGGGCTTCTTTCTGAGAAGGAAAGCCAAAACGGGGGAAGGTGTATTAAAGTGACATCCAGCCGGGCTCCGTAGCTCAGGGGTTAGAGCACTGGTCTCATAAAGTGACATCCAAAAAACAGTTGGAAACTTAGATCTGGGACTACAGCGAGGCCTAAGCTAGAGACAGGCTTAGGGGATAGGTTTGGATGGTGATTGAAGCCATAGGTGTGAGTAAAATTGCCCAGGGAAGGAGTGTAAACAAAGAAAGGGCATGTCAGGATGGGAAGGATGATCTTAGGAGCAACTGGGGGGCGGGGGGCGGGGGGTGAAGTAGGAGTAGAATAGAGCGTGGGGTCCTGCAGAATCAGAAGTGAGATGAGAGGCTCAGTACTGCAGACTTGGTGTTCAGATGTCACCTCCAGGAACAGGAAGGCTCTTTATGGGGCAGGACTTTGAGTGGACACAGCTACATGGAGATCCCGCACTGAGGGGCCAGGTACCATCGTTTAGGGGGACCAGTGGAGAAGTGAGAAAAGGTACACCATGGAGCAGGCACTACAGGTAAGGCATCATTGTAAGTGCTGCCTTAGGCACAATATCTCATCTCCTCCTTAAAGCCACCTTCCTCACCTATCCACCCCATATTGGCATGATTATCCTCATTTTACCATGTGAGTACTAAGGCTCAGAGGTTAGGTAACTTGTCCAAGTTCACACAGCTGGTTAAAGACAGGCCTAGGAATCAAGGCCACATCTGTCTTTACTCCATGCCTGTGTTCTGCTCATTATTCCACACTGCCTAGGGGCAAAACATGACCTGAGACGCTATGGGCGGATTCTATGCTATAGCATACTAAAATGCCTTTAGCGGTTGAGCGGCTGCCTTCGGCTCAGGTCATGATCCTGGAGTCCCGGGATCGAGTCCCGCATCGGGCTCCCTGCTCGGCGGGGAGTCAGCTTCTCCCTCTGACCCTCTTTCCCTCTTGTGCTCTCTCTCTCTCATTCTCTCTCTCTCAAATAAATAAAATCTTTAAAAAAATAAAATAAAGTAAAATGCCTTTAGCAATCAGGCAGGTCATGTATGAAGGCCAGGTATGATAGTGATGCTAAGCTGCTTGATATAGCCCTATTATTGTCCCTTTTAAAACTGCAGAGACCAGACAAAAATCAAAGCCTTGGACTGCCAGCTTTCAACTACTGTATAGTATCCAATGCTGAGATGTTGGCTAGGGGGGAAAAAGTCTTCATGGTAAAGCAGTTTCAGTAGGATGGAGAGAGCTGAATCCTAGCTGCAGTGAGGTAGGGAGTGAAGATGTTAAGGAAATTCAGATTGTGAATGTAGACTACTCAAAAACTTGGATGGGAACGAAAGGGGACCGGAGAAGTTGTGGGAACGACTTGAGCTTGGCAAATGTCAGGACAAAACTGCAGTGGTAGGTGTGGTTAGGAGGAAGAGGTGATGTTCCATTGAGGGGGCAAAGCTGATGAAGTAGATGAGTTCAGCTGGATTAGGGAGCAATGAGGGAGTGCAGAAGACGTCTCTAAAAAGGTAGTTGGAGGAGCACCTGGGTGGCTCAGTCCATTAAGCGTTCAACTCTCCATCTCAGCTCAGGTCTTAATCTCAGGGGTGTGAGTTCAGGCTCCATGTTGGGCTCCACACTGGACATGGAGCCTACATATAAAAAAATAAATAGAAAGGTAGTTGAAGTCTGAGTGGAGAGTCTTGAATGCCATGTTGAAGCATTTAAACTGTGATCTGGCAAACAGTTGGCAGCCACTGAAAGGATGCTTCATGTTGACAATGGCAACTGCTGAAATTTAGCCTAGCAGCCAGTGCCTGTGGTGGAGAGAAAAGAGCAGTAACATGGAGGCACATACTAATGCAGGCAGAAAAATAAATGAAGAGATAAATGTGAGAACGATTTTGGAGGAAAAAGCAGAAGTAGTGACTGATAACTGCTAATAGGACCCAGGGAAACACAGTTGGAAGCCAAGGCCCAGATTTCAAGCCTGAATGGCCGGAGGGAAAGATGTTTTGTAGGTTTTAGAAGTATTGAAATTTACAGAAATGGTTGCTCATCAAAGTAAAAATGTACAGCAGAATATAGGAAGGCGATGCTGGAGCTCAAGATGGGGGTAAACTACAGGCTGCCCTCAAAGTAGAGAAGCAGGTGGGAGGCCTGCTCAACAACGTGAAAGAGCTTCGGAGAAGCCCCAGCACGCGTCCTGCGTGAGCAGGACAGACAAGAACAGGCCTGGTTTGATTCACTCCAAGTGACTTTTAGGAAGGAAACGCAAACTCAAGGACTTCCGGCCCTTCCCCCATTCAAAAGAAAAGTCCATTATCATTTTATTGAGCGCCTTCGTGGCATTTTGCATATCGCTCATGGATTCCCCTCTGCATCCGTGAGACGTGGGTCACCCCTCCACGTTCCGTTCCCAGAGTCGCACAGCTAGGAAAGGGCGGAGCCGGGATTCCACCTCAGGTCCGGCCGCCCCGAGCCCGCTCGGAAGTTCTGCTCGGGCCTTCCTCGTTCTCGGGCCGGGGGGAGTGGAGGATGTCGGGCGAACCTGCTGTGCCAGGCCCTGACCCTGCCTCCCTCACCAGCGGGAAAACCACCGCTAGAGCCAGGGACCCAGCCTCCCGCGGAGGCCGCTGCCACCGGCCCAATCAGCGTCCGCCCCGGGCGCCTCCCAACAAACGGCCCGCTGATTGGCTTGTTCTGCCATCCGCCGCGTTGCCCTGACAACCAGGCGACCGGACGCGGAGGCCGGCCTCCGGCTATCCAGTCCCGTGGCCCTTCGCCTCCTCCTCCCGCATCTGGCACCATGTCGCTGCGGACACTACCGCTGCTCTTCTTGAACTTGGGCGGGGAGATGCTTTACATCCTGGACCAGCGGCTGCGGGCCCAGACCATCCCGGCAGACAAGGCCCGCAAAGGTGAGAGGCGCCCGGCCCGCACAGCCAGCCCCACGCCCGGCAGCCCGTCCCCCTCACCGCCAACGCCGCGCGCACAGCCGGAGCTCCACAGCCAGGCTCCCCTGCAGACTGACCAACACCCCTGCACCCCGCGCTCCTGTAGCCAGGGACCTTTCTCACAACGCCACAGCGCCATCCGCTCAGGGCCCCTCGGGAGTCAAATTCCCCAAAAGATGTTTTCACGGCAGAAGGATTTAATACCCGCGCTAGGGTATATTATTAGGGGACCTCACACACACACACACACACACACACACACATTTCCTCATCCCCGCAAATTGGAGAGATAATTTCCCCATCTCTCTTGACAACCAGTCCCTCCCAAATGTAGGAGACCGAGCTGCCCACCACCTGGGTAAACACCGTTTGCTAGTCCAAGCATCCTTTCCCCCCACACCCCACCCCAACAGGTGCTGATTCTCCTGTCCTCTGTATGGTATCCTCCATGAGCTGGAGGCCAGTCTTGCTAATTTCAGAAGCTATTTCTAGAAATGTGGGATTCTGAAATAACAGATTAATAAGAAGACATAAGAAAGGCACGTTATTCCCTTCACAATTATTGGAAAAGAAGGCAGGTCTGGAAATAATTATATGAGAGTTTATAAAATGCAGAATCTGTCACCCATATACATCACATCTAATCTCCAGAGAAATGACCACCCAGAACTCTCTGCCACCATTTTCTTCTTCTTTTCCTCCCTTCTCAACCAACAACTGCTTTCACCAAGTTTCCTTGGATTAAGTACAGAAGAAATATATATTTCAAGGTAGAGAAAGATGTGGTATAAAGGTAACTGACGACCCCAGATTAAAAATTTATTCTCTCCAGCAATACGTATGCTCAACTGATGTTAAACGTACATATTCAGATGTTAAGCATACATACTCAAATATTCACTATTGTGTCTGTGTAATTGAGTCCAAGTCCACACACAAAGAGATCAAAAGAACCCCCTATCTCATACCCCTCCATTCATTCTGCACACTGCTGCCCATGAGCTTTCTAAATTGCAAATCTGTCCATACTCCCTGCTACTTAAAACCCTTTGTCAGCTTGCACTGTTGTTTGGATGGAGACCAAGTCTTTGGCAGGACATTTCAGGGCCCTTGTCGACCTGACCTCTTTCCACCTCTGCAGTCCCACCTTCCACCACTGCCTGCCTCCTACTTTGTATCTTAATAACAAACTGCTTATAGGCCTACATTTAAAATATGTTCATTCACATTTCCGTGCTAATAATCCCATTCTATCCCAAAGCTCCCATTTCTATGCTAATGGTTCCTCTTCCATTCTGCATTATTCAGATTGAGAATCAGCTCCTTCAGGAAGCCTCCCCACACCGGGAAAGGGTCTGAGAATACTCCCATAGTACCCCATGCATGCCTCTCCCTATCTTATCACTGGCCAGGTTATACTGAAATGGTCTGTGGGTGTCTCCCCCGCATAGGATTATCATCTTCATCTTTGTACTCCAGCACCTAGCATAGTGTCTAGACCAGAATAAATTGGTGTTCAGTCAGTGTTTGTTGAACTGATGATCTCAATTGGCTGTTTTATATGATGTTGCCATTTCTTCCTCAAGAGGGTTTTGTTTTCCTTAGCACACATGTGCTGTCATTGCATTTGGGCTAATGGCACCACTGAGCTGACCTTGCACTGGTGGTCTGCATCTTAAAAAACGGTATAAATTAGCAGTTAAAAGCATACTCTCTGCTGCCATGCAGTTGGGTTCCAATTCCAGCTTTGCCCTTTAACTAGCTATATGTCCTTGGAGTGTAACCTCTATAAGCCTGTTTCTTTTTCCATAAAATGGGCATCGTACATACTCACAGCAAAGCTGTCAGAATTGAATGAGATCATGTATTCAACATGTTTAGCACAATGAGCGGCAGGTGTTGGCTTTCAAGAGGGGGTCTGGGCAAGACCCTGTGAATATGAAGGGACTGGTTTCGTTTGTCTTCAGGAGCTACAGTTCTTCTGGTTTTGCTAAATACAGCTTTAGAGAGTTTCAACCATTTTTAGTAATTCACATTCACACACTCCTTCCCCCCTTCCACAGTTTAGATGAGTGTCAGACATCATGTGAGATGCTGGATGGAGCCTGAGCCAGCCCTTCTGTACATTCACTGGAGGTAGGGCTTTGCATCAGTCTCATCCAGTAACTGCTTCTAAAACCGGGGGACATACCTTCCTAACAACACCAACATTTATTAAGCACTTACTGCCTACCAAGGACTTCTCTGAAGACCTTAATCCCCACAACTATACTATCCTGTAGGTAATACTATCCCCATTTTACAGATGGGGCAACTAAAGTTAATTTGCCTGGGGTTACATAGTCAGTAAAAGGAAGAGTAAAGAATTTGAACCCAGGTCATCAGGCTCCAGAGCTCACACTCTTAGCCAGTGTGTCCTTAGGTGCTACACTATACTTCCATATTTGGGGGGACTGTATCAGAATCTTTGGGGGTGGGGGGAATGGGAGGTCGGGAAGAGAGGGGGAGCTCTGAAAAAATTGTCCAATGGACCCACTGATTTTATGAAAGAAATGACAGAAAGTAACGGGCTCATGGGGACTCGTAGAAGATAGAGAGAAAACAGGGTGGAGAGTACAGGATTCAGAAAGCTGAGAAACACCAATCTATCCCACCATTGAGAGCTGGTGTAGCTAAAGGAGCCGCTGTGACAGTTGCTGGTGCACAGAGGCCTATAAAACAGGAGCCACTGTAAACGAGTCCCCCACTGATGCTGTGAATGGAAATCATATTTCTTCTAGGTGTTTTCATTCTCTTACACAACTAATTGGTCTCCTGGAGGCCATGCCGCTCCCACGAGGCCATTGCAGATACTGCAGTTTTTCACCACAGTGGAGCCTCTAGTTTAGCATTCAACAGAAAGGAAGTGCTCTCGCCATGGGGCAACTTTGGAGTGTTGCATATGAATGTTGTCCCCCATTTCAAGCAATAGCAAGAATAATAAAAGTGCCTTTTCCTCACTCCAGGCCTCTTAAAAATACTCATAAATAAGACCCTGTTACATTTTGTTTACATTCCTCATTTTACAGAAGGGGAAACAGACACACAGTAAGTGATTTCTCCAGGAGGAGCAGATCACAGTGAAGTACTGAGCAAAAAAATGGTGGTGAGGTTCCGTTTTTATTTTTCTAGTTCCAATTTAGCAGGCAGCTCTGGATAGCCTTGGGCCTTCCTCCCACTCAAAATATAACTAAAGTGAAATTGGCATAAGCAAGTCATCTGGAAAAATAACAGAAAGACCGGACATGGTTTACCTTCCCCTGGATCCTCAGGAGGACCCGGGCGGGAGCGCGCAGCACTCCAGCGACCTCTGCTGGAGCTGAGCGTCATTGCCCTCAGGAGGGCGCCAACGCGGGACATGCTTTTGCCAGCTCCACTTTGTCAACAGCAGGGAGCCACTGTCCCTTAGAGTACTTGAGCCCCTTGTGGCACCACCGCCCCAGTCCTCCTGAGTCAGATGCTTAACTGACTGTGCCACCCAGGCGCCCTTGTAAAGCCTTCCTTTGAATGAGGTGTATTCTCATAGCATTAGAGAAAATGACTTCTCGGGCCTTTCAAGATAAACCCAGGGGGGCTAGTTCCGGGTTTCCTCTCCCACGAGGCCCCCTCTCGGGAAGGTATAGCCTCTCCAGGGCTTTTTGGGAACTTGTTATTTACCCGTCATCCTTTTCAAAGTTTCAAATGGAAGGCAGAGAGTATTTGCATTGGACATTAATGCAAACATGCAAAACAAAGTTTCATAGACCAGATCTTTGGAATTTCTATTTTTAAAGCCTCCTTGAAAAGAATGTTCTTGCTTCATGAACTGGTGTTTTCTTTTTATATGCTTCATGTAGATGAATGGACAGAGGTGGACAGAAAACGAGGTATGCTATCTCTGGGCTGCATGTGTTCAGTCTGCATCCACAGGCTCACTCGGTCCTTCGTCATTGGGCTTACTGGGGGACCACTCTAAATATGTCTAAGAAAAACATAGGCGTGAGTTTCTCTTTAGCCAAGAGACTGGCTGTACGTTGGAATCTCTTACTTAAATAAATACAGCATGTCAGATGAAAACCAAGCATACTTTGGCCGAAGGACCATATGGCACCTGAGATATTTGTCCCTTCGTCCGTTCCAAGTTTTGCAGGGCATTAGCTACACTTCTGGGTCGACTGCCCTATTTGATAGTCCTTAAAACAATTCTGTGACAGTATTATGCAGCCAAAGAACTGTGGTTCGACGCCAGCGCTCCTCCCTGAGCCATTCTGCTCAGCACCCAGAGGTCTCTACCGAGCAATGGAGGAACATGGAGGTAGGCGGCTGCACGGCTGCCAGCCCTGTGGGCCGAAGCGCGCATGCACTGTGGCCTTGTCGTGCCGAATCTTCCATTTTTCCCTTCACCCACGACTAGCAGCAAACCTGAAAAATTTGCCGATTCCTCAGAATAAAACCTTAGCCTTTCTCACCCTTAGATGTCACAAGGACCTTCCATCACTTGACATTTGGGTGCTGTGGGTGCATGTCGTCAGCCGTCGTCCTCAGTGCTTTCAATGCTCTCAGCCTACCAAGGGTGCTGAGGGGACAACGCGTGTAATGTGTAAGAACGCAGGCATTAAAATCAAACACCCCACCCTGATTTCACTCCCACCACCAGCTGTGTGGCCTTGGACTTTAACCTATCTAAAACTCAACGTTCCTCCTCGATAGAATAAGGAGAGTAATCCAGAGTTGTCTTGGGGTTTAAATGAGAGAATGCAGGGAAAGTTCTAAGGCCAGTGCCTGGGACACAGTAAGGATTCAAAAGCCGGAACCATCCAGAAGTAGTAGCTTCTCCCTTTTACCTTGGGTTCCAAATTGCACGTTCCCAAAAACAAATGTATAGCAGAGGTAGCTGGTAAAAACTCAGTTGCTTTCATCAGGAGAATTATTTCATCAGGCCAGGCTCAAAGAAAAACCCAACTGAAGGGCTTGATACACTGTTACTGTCTTTTACCATTTCCTGTGAGCAATTTTTGGCCCACCTCTTGACGCAGGGCAGAATTTCAGGCAAGAGGTGTGGATTATGAAGGCTGTTAGCATACATAATTTATTTTTTTAAGTTTATTTATTTATTTATTTGACAGAGAGATAGAAGCACTAGTAGGCAGAGAGGCAGGCAGAGGGAGAAGCAGGCTCCCTGCCGAGCAGGGGGCCTGATGCGGGACTCGATCCCAGGACCCTGGGATCATGACCTGAGCCGAAGGCAGCCGCTTAACTGACTGAGCCACCCAGGCTCCCCAGCATACATAATTTAATCATTGGAATTTATTTTAACTTAGGCATTACAAAGTAATGAGCAGAAACTGACTTCAGAACCCAGGACGAGCAACCTGATCTGTTAAGAACTCAGTTACGAACGCTTCTGATGCACCTGTGAAAATTTATTTCCTTCCCTGCCTTTAGTCCCTGTCCCTCGAAACCTGGCTCCTAGTGCATTCCTGCCTCATGAAATTATGCAAAGCTCATGCGAGTGCCAAAAACTAACACCAAGACTGACTAACAGGTCTGCTTAAACCCATTTCTCAGGTTTAACTTAAATACGACCTGGGCTACTTCTCTAGGGCAGGGATAGCTGCCAGTTCTGCTTTGTGCCCTGGTGTTTATCTCACGTCTGGTACAGATTTAGGCCCACCTCAGCCAAGTGCTAGGTAAAGCACTGTGCAAGACGTAAACTTGTCAATTTGTGCCCCCATAGTCTTTCCAAAGACTTAAATTCGAGAGGCAGGAGCTCTGGGTACCAGGGCCCAATCATCAAACTGCCATTTCCTCTGTGGGGTCATTTGTGTTCACTGCTCGGCCCACAGGGACAGGGCGTGCTGTACTCTAAATTAACAGGAGAACTTTCTGGTTGTTAGGGTGCAAGGAGCCGTGATGATATATAGCCTATTCACTTCCCAGGGGGAAAGGCTTCATTTTGCTTTTTACTTTGCCAGAGTGACTAACAATCCCCCTGCAATTTTCTTTCTTTTAGAACTGTTGTATTTGGGTATAAGCTATTTTCCTAGATAATGCTAGGGACTCAAAAGACTCTAGAGAAATGGCTCAGCACCCAGGCGAATGGCAGCTTCTGAAAGCATTGACATAATCGGAGCTGATGCGATCCTTCAACTGGAATTCTTCCTCTTGGGCACTCCTCTTTGCCCTACATAAATCCATAGAAAGTTCTTCAAATTCTTTCTCTCAAGGCCTCATGTGTGGCTTTTCATTTGTACCTATTTCCTTGCAAATTCTGCATTTGGTATAGGCTATGGTAAGAAAAAGGTAGAAAACCCAGTTTCTTGCCGGTCCTTGCTTGCTTAGGTCAAAGACAAAAGACCATTCATGAAGCAAACCCAGAAAAGTTCCTATGTCTCCAAGCTGTCCACACTGGGGAAATGTTAGTGCACATTAAGGGCAAGCTGCAATGGGTTCAGATTGTCAGATGTGAGAGACACCCTGTGTTGGTAATGGATTTGGTTCTTCCTCACAAAGAGGATGGAGCCTCAAGTAAAGTCCAAGGTCAAGTGTGAGTTCAACACATCTGTAGGGAGTCAGTCATTTAGTTCTTTTGTATCAAAAGGTGGGGAATCCCCTCCTCTCCCTCTAAATTTAAATACAACCAAGAAGCTCCACCTTCTCCCCAAAAATGCTCTTTGAGATGCTCTTTTTTTTAAGATTTTGTTTGTTGATAAGTAGGCTCCACACCCAGCGTGGAGCCCAACACAGGGCTTGAACTCACCACCCTGAGATCAAGACCTGAGCTGAGATCAGGAGTCAGACTGAGCCACCCAGGCGCCCCAAGATTTTATTTTTTTTAAGTAATCTCTACACCCAAAGTGGGGCTCAAACTCACAACCCCACGGTCAAGAGTCGCATGCTCTATGAACTGAGCCAGATGGGCACCCCAATGCTGGCCTGGCCCCCAGGGTACTTGTATCAATTACTTAAAGCTGGACAGGGTGCCTGAAACCATGACCTGAATGAACTACCTTGCCTTCCGTCTCTAAAATACATGGTCACAACCAATCACCTGGTGCAACCTTTGGCAAGAGAAAGGGGCATTTGTATCCTTCAGTGATAATCACTCATGTTTAATAATTGATTTTGTATAATAATTGTAAGTTATCAGTTTTCTTTCAAATTTTAATTACTGTGAATGTATATTCTCAGCACCCTTATCCTGTCACCCGTAGGTCAGGATATATCTGGCTTAATTAAGAATAATCTGTGTTCATACATACCTGTTCCTATTTCTTGTACCAGAAGGTTTTCCTAGCCTTCAACTAATATTATTTGAGTAGCACAAAATATCGAAATGAACGAGTGAAGAACTAGAATTATAGACACTTTGGTTTCCACATGCCTTAGGATTTTTATTCTCACCAGATGGAAAATTTCCATTTGAACAACAATATGAGACACATCACCACAGTGTAATATCAATATTATAGATCAAATGTAGAAATTAAGACATTCTAACATGGTGCTAATCTGAAGTACATGTCTGTAGAAACATTAGAAATGTTTTCATCTCTAACCAGTGGGTAGACTTGTCTATTTTCATAAAATGTTTTTTCTTTAAAAAGAGTCAATTACCGTTATTGGTCCCATTTTTACGAAATTTAAGTAAAAACATTATAGATTAGCTAAACAAACCAAAAAAAGAGCAATGTGGTTTCTCATTTTAAGGAAGAGATCTAATCTAAAATGTTCATAGGAATTTTTTTAAAGAAACATCTCCCCTATCATCAGGTGAGATAATGTATGTGTAAAAGTGGTTTGTAACCACTGAAGCACATTGCCACATTTATGTTTGCTCAGAGACAGTCTCATAAAGCACTCTGGACCCTGCTTTCTATTGGGATGCCTGTGTGGTTTCTCCCGAGGGAGCAGATCTCACCAGCACATCAGCATCCCCACTCTGCGTAGACCCAGCTCCTGCATTCCATTCACATACAGAGAGCATCTCCTGAATAAAGCTTCCTCCAGTACTTGCTTAGCTGTATTCTCTCTTGTCTCTACAGTTCTGAATGACATCATCTCAACCATGTTCAATCGAAAGTTTATGGAGGAATTGTTCAAACCGCAAGAGCTCTACTCCAAGAAGGCCCTGAGGACTGTCTACGACCGCCTTGCTCATGCTTCCATTATGAGACTAAACCAGGCCAGCATGGATAAGGTGAGCAGAGAGCTGCCTCTGTCCCACTGGTTGCATTTCTTGTACCTTTGGTGCATGAGCACAGACTGGGTCAAATGAGATGATGTATGCAGTGGTGCCTTGCCAAAAAAAGGCACTTGTAAGTATCAGTTGTTGGTATTGAGTTCCAGAGTTAGAAAGGACCTCAAGTCATCCATCCCAACCCCTCTGATGTTCATGTCGTTCCACCTGCCCAGAGAGAGAGCTGGTGTTCATGCCCATATTCAGGAACACACACCTCGACCCAGTACAAGTGCCTATCCCTAAAAACTTTAAATCTGCTCCATTCTTAACAAATCTCAGCTCTGTGATGAGGAAACCAGGCATTTTTCAAGCAAATTCAAAACTGCTCAGTCTTTACTTAGAACATGAACATATTGGGGCACCTGGGTGGCTCAGTTGGTTGGGTGTCAGCCTTTGGCTCGTGTCATGATCCTGGGGTCCTGGGATCAAGCCCATGTCAGGCTCCCTGCTCAGCAGGAGAAGTCCCTCTCCCGCTGCCTCTCCCCCGGCTCGTGCTCTCTCACCACTCTCTCTCTCTCTCTCAAACGAATGGATAAAATCTTTAAAAAAAAAAAAAAAGGAACATGAACATATCTGTTTCTTTCTTTCTTTTTTTTTTTTTTTTAAGATTTCATTCATTCATTTGACAGGGAGCACAAGCAGGGGGAGTGGCAGGCAGAGGCAGAGGGAGAAGCAGGCTCCCCACTGAGCAAGGAGCCCAACATGGGGCTCGATCCCAGAACCCTGGGATCATGACCCCAGCAGAAGGCAGACGCTCAACTGACAGAGCCACCCAGGTGCCCCTGAACATATCTGTTTCTTTGGGAAACAAATTATTGGGGCACTCTGATTTTTAAAATAATAATTCCAAAAAAATAATGGCAGAGAATAGACAAATCTCCTATTCAAAAAACTCTCCTGTTCAGAATATAGGTACTCCCCTCTCCCTGTATGAGGGCTATACTCAGTGACTTCCTTCCAAAGGGACAGTATGGAAAGGGAAGAGAACAGCTGACTTACAGTGGAAAAATAACAAACACTATAAGGTCAATGACAATGGTGGTAAGTCACATTGGTTGTGTGTACCCTGATATAGTGTGATGAGGATAGCACTGTACCTCTGTGGTCTTCCTCCCAAAAACCCACACCCCATTCTGATTGTGAGAAAAACATCAGAGAGATGGGGTGCCTGGGGGGCTCAGTCGGTTAAGCGTCTGCCTTCGGCTCAGGTCATGATCCCAGGGTCCTGGGATCGAGTCCCACATTGGGCTCCCTGCTCATGGAGAGCCTGCTTCTCCTTCTCCCTCTGCTGCTCTCCCTGCTTCTGCTCTCTCTATGTCAAATAAATAAAACCAAACAGATAACATTTGGAGGTCATGTTACAAGTACCTGACCAATAATCAAAACTCTCAAGGCCACCAAAAACAAGGACAGTTAGAGAAATCATTACAGCCAAGAGAGGCCTAAGGAGACCTGATGACTAAAATGTAACTGGGGTCCTGGAACAGAAATAGGACATTAGGGGAAAACTAATGAAATCTGAATAAAATATGGACTTCAGTTACTTTTAATATAGCAATAATAATAATTTTAAAAGAATTCACTTTTTAGTTCCTCTATTATGTGAATGTTTGTAAGTCCTGAGGACTGACAGTGAGTGCCAAGTATACAACATCCATGCTCACTGCCGGCTGGTACCTGGCAACCTCAGGGAGCTGTCTCCCTTTAACTGTGCCCTTACCTCCTCTCACTTATTTCTGGAAAGCTCCTTTATCTCCTTGAGCCTCCATTTTCTCATCTATAAAGTGGGGATAATAATAGCTTTTTCATCAGTTTCAGGAGGATTAAGTGAGAAAACATAGAACACGTAGGCCTGGCACATAATAGATGTTCAATCAATGTTAATCATCTCCTCTGCTGCTTGCTCTTCTTCTGCCTTTGAGAAGGTTTAGGTTTCCATGGAGAAAGGACACAGAATTTGGAATTTGGAATAAAAAAACCTGGATTCAAGTCTTAGCTCTACCATACTAGCTGTAGACTCAGTTTACTGAATAACTCTGAACTCTCATTTCTTTATCTTCTACCTGGTTTTATCCTTTATTCCTCTCATGGGGTCCTATCCACAACAGGTGCTTAATGTGTGATAATGATGGCAGAGAGTCCCAAGTCTGTATCTGTAGTTTTATACATTCCCCCCACACACACCCCAAGGTGTTCCTGGGTATTCTGCTTTCTAAATGAAATATTTAGCTGCATGTTGGAGAAATGGGATCATGTAGAAAGTTCTAGCAAATGCCTTAGGATCTGAACGTCCTGAGTTCAAAGCTCATCCTGCCATTTATTACCAGCTTTGTGAAATTAAGCAAGTCCCTTCATTTTTAAACTGGGGCTAGCATCTTCGTCATAGAGTCCTTGTGAAGATTAAATGGGACCAAATAAGGTGATGTATGTGAGTGTGCTCAGCACTACACTCCATGGGTGTAGATTATCCTCCATCCTGCGTCAGTCACGCCCTAGCTTCTCTCCCAGACTGGTTCCTTCCACCCCCATCCCCCAGACTGCCCTGCCACTGTCAGCGTCGGCCTTCTCCCAGGCACTAGATGGAAAACACTGTGGTCATTTCAGACAGCCCTCATCTTCGGCCCCAAACCTACTCAGGCCATCACTATATGTGACAATTTGTGTGAACCTATGACTGCAGCCTTCTGCTTCCACAAAACCTATCTTGACCACTTTGGTCCTCACCAGTGTCTCGCCTCTGATGGTTCATGGACGGTCAGACCACACACGGGGCTTGCTGATATCTCATTAAGGATTGTTCACCATTTAAAATTGCTCTAACATGGTTGTAGGATTTCACACTTGCCACATGCACACATACTCTCTCCTTGACTCCTCTCAGCAGTTTAGTAACGACAGGAAATTAGGGAATAATTCTTTTAAGATTATATTTATATATATACTTATTTATTTGAGAAAGAGAGCTCGAACCGGGGGGGAGGGAGAAGGAGAGAGAAAAATATCCAGCGGACTCCACACTGAGCAGGGAGCCCAGACTGTGAGATCATGACCTGAGGCGAAATCAAGAGTTGGCCACTCGGGTGCCCGGGGGGCTCAGTCCTTAAGCGTCTGCCTTCGGCTCAGGTCATGGTCCCAGGGTCCTGGGATCAAGCCCCGCATCGGGCTCCCTGCTCCACAGGAAGCCTGCTTCTCCCTCTCCCACTCCCCCGTTTGTGTTCCCTCTCTCGCTGTGTCTCTCTCTGTCAAATAAATAAATAAAATCTTTAAAAAAGAAGAGTTGGCAGCTCAACCAACTGAACCACCCAGGTGCCCCAGGGAATATTTTTTACAGATGAGAAAATTCAGGCTCAGAGAGGCAAAGGGACATGGCCAGGGCCATCCACAACACATCGGCCACAGCAGTAGAGGGCTCGTTTTTGAACTCGCTCTCTCTGAGGCCAGCACCCAGTCCAGGGCCCCACGGCTGCCAATACTGTTCCAAACATGTGCCATCAGCAGCATACGTAAGCTGACCAGAAATCCTGGCTTTCCCGGGAATGCCCTGGTTTATACCTGTCGTCCTAGCTTCATTATTCACATCAGCCCCTTTTACACTCTTGGTTTGAGTGATAACTGACACGGTCACCTGAGCTGTATGAGATGCCCAGAACTGTTTTTCAGTAAATGCTTGACTGGACGATTGTGTGGAGGTGCTGATGTCTGCTTCTATTTATTTTGTGCAGCTGTATGACCTGATGACCATGGCTTTCAAATACCAAATACTGCTGTGTCCCCGCCCCAAAGATGTGTTGCTGATCACTTTCAATCATTTAGACGCCATCAAGGGTTTCATCCAAGACTCCCCAGCCATCCTGCATCAGGTGGAGGAGACTTTCCGGCAGTTGACTGAAGTAAGCGGGGCGTGGTTCATCACCTCTCAGCCCCATTCTTGTTCTCATTCCCCTGTTAAAAACAGCCAGATTCGGAGCACCTGGGCAGCTCAGTTGTTAAGCATCTGCCTTCGGCTCAGGTCATGGTCCCAGGGTCCTGGGATCAAGCCCCGCATCGGGCTCCCTGCTCCGCGGGAAGCCTGCTTCTCCCTCTCCCACTCCCCCTGCTTGTGTTCCCTCTCTCTGTCAAATTAAATAAAATCTCAAAAAAAAAAAAAAAAGAAAAAGCCAGATTCTATGACAGACAGAACAGGATGACGGATGACAAAGCCTGCCACTCTCCTGAAAAATCCTAAAAATCTACAAGTATCCATTTGGTCATATAACAGGCATTACCGTCTTAGGCCCTCTCACTGTGGCCTTCCACATGGGGAAAGCAACGACACAGGGCATGGCCATTTCCTCCTGACTTTTCTGAAAGGGAGCTGGCAGGGGGAAGGGCCCCTCCAGGTCTGTGGGGAACAGGAGAGGTGAAGTGTCCCCCTACTTGGCTGTGGCCCACTGGGGTCGGCCGCACTGGCTCTGCCACTGCCCCTCTCAGCCCCAGCAGCTGAGTCCCCTGCCTGCTTCTCTGGCTCCCGCCCCCCCTCCACCCACCCCCCGGGGTCTGCCTAGCCCTGCCCGTCTGCACTTCTCACCTCACTTCTGGAAGTGAAGCGCTTCTCTCTGCTTTGCATCTGGCAGATATACGGGGCGCTGTCTGCAGGGGAGTTCCAGCTGATCCGGCAGACACTCCTCATCTTCTTCCAGGACCTGCACATCCGGGTGAGTGAATGGGCGGCCCAGGGAGCACGCTGCCACCGCCGTCCTCGGGAAGCAGGGTGCCAAGTGGTCAGGCAGAAGAGGGCTGAGATTGCCCAGTTAATGATTCCTCGTGGTTGGCTCCATGATGATAAACTTTCTGATAACAAATCTCAGCAGTTTTTAAATAGACCAAGGAAGACAATGATACCGCCATTCCTTCCCAGTTCCTTTATGTGTTTCTTTAAAATATGATTTATTCTCTTCTCTGGAGGAAATGTGTTCTCAAGGCTACCAGCCTGCTCTCAGTGAGAAAGCCCTTTCTCAAACCGTTAGCATCCTTGACCTCTCCAGTATCTGACCCTGGCAGGAGGCTGCCCTCCCACTCCAGGAAGCCCACCTTTCCCGGACTCTCACGGGGCCAGACCATCCTGGCCTCACTTTACCCCTCCCAGCTCTGTGCCCCGCACTCCTTCCTCCCCCTTTCCTTCACCTTCACGTAGGACTTCGGAGTCTCACCGACGCCCTGCCCTTGCCCTAGCCCTGCCACCTAGACCCACGTCTCCACCTGCTTGCTGAGCTCTCCGTGAGGAGGCACCCAGTGCCTACAGTGTAAGGTCTGCGCAAAATTCATCTCCAAAATTCCAGTCCTGCACCACTTCCAACTTCCCGATTTCTTTTGAGGGCCCCACCGCTTCTTCACTCACTCAGCTCAGAAGCAGAGCGTGACCTTTGCGTCCCCTTCTCTGCTCTTCGTCTAAAGTTCTCCCGAGGCTGCCTCTTCAGGGTCCACGTCCTCCTTTCCCTTCCTGCTGCCCCCAGGCTGGCTCAGGCCCCCCTCTGCCTGTTGGCTGTGGCTCCCAACTGACCCTGCGTCCTGACCCTGTCAGGCCTGCTTGGGACAACTCCACACACTGCTGAGCTCCTGAATGTGGGGCCTGTCTCTCTTGGACAGAACTTCGTTCCTCTGCATAACTTAACAAGCTGCTCAGGGAAGGACGGGTGATAGGGCCGAATGAGCCGAGGCTCTGGAGTCAAACATCCTGGCGTCTGAGTCCCAGCTCCAACACAGCTCCATGACCTTGGGCAAATTACCTTTCTTGAGCCTTACCTTCTTCATCTGAAAACTGGACACGATGATGCCTTATTGCAAGCATATAGCTGATGCAGCGTGTGTAATATGTGTGGATTTTCTTGTATGTGTACCGTATAGAGCGTTTCCTTCCAGAAACTGGTCACAGTGAATACCTCCTGGTTGTGGAGAACTGCGTGGAGGATGGGATAGGACAGAGCCATGTTCCATCATATACCTTTGAACCTTTTGAATCTTGTACTTGTGTAGGCATAACATTTTCACCCAATAAAATTCAAAAAAAAAGAAGCAGTAGGATGCACTTAGTGCCTGATCATTATTTCCCTTCCACGGACCAGGGAAGACAAATAGATTTCAACTCAGAGGCCAATTTTATGTTTAACCCTCATGAATAATTTTATTTGCTATCGATCGAGTAATAATAACACCAATATAAATTAAGATCTCTAATAGTCATCAATTAAAATAAAAAATATGAGGGCGCCTGGGTGGCTCAGTTGGTTAAGCGACTGCCTTCGGCTCAGGTCATGATCCTGGAGTCCCGGGATCGAGTTCCACATCAGGCTTCCTGCTCAGCGGGGAGTTTGCTTCTCCCTCTGACCCTCTTCCCTCTCATGCTTTCTATCTCTCATTCTCTCTCTCTCAAATAAATAAATAAAATCTTTAAAAATATATAAATAAATAAAATAAAATAAAATAAAATAAAAAATATGAAAGTACAAATAAGATTAAGTTTTGCATTGCTTTAAAATATTGAAAACTCTGCATCAGATTCTTATCAAAATAGTGCCTATTTGGACATTGTTTTATGGATTGTAGTGATATGAGCAGCCATATTGATTTCTCAGTTCTGACAAGTTAAAATTCATTATAATGAAAAGACACTCCTAATAAGAAGTTTATAACAAAATCATTAAAATGCATTAAACCACAAAATATATTAAGCTTTAGTTGCTAAATAGGCAAGCAATGAAACATCAGAATGTTCATGAAGAAAAATAGGAATCACATATCCTGACGATATTCAGCCACCGTTCCGTGACACTTGGCTGGTCTTCTGAATCTGGTCTTGAATGGTATTTCTGCTCAGCTGCAATTTGTGCTTGCCAATGCATTTTCTCTGTTTCCAAAACAGCCTTGGTAGTCTTTAGATTTCTTAGTAAAACCAACTAACTAAATCAAAAAAAACACTGGTCTGATCTAACACTCCTTTGCTGTTTAACCAAAGCAAACGCAAAACACGGCATCCTGATACCCACAGCTTTCTGTGGTACCAAGAAACAACCTGAAGGGCGCCTGGGTGGCTCAGTTGGTTAAGTGACTGCCTTCGGCTCAGGTCATGATCCCGGAGTCCTGGGATCGAGTCCCACATCAGGCTCCCGGCTGAGCCAGGAGCCTGCTTCTCCCTCTGACCCTTTCCCCTCTCATGCTGTTTCTCTCTCTCTCTCTCTCTCTCAAATAAATAAATAAAATCTTAAAAAAAAAAAAAAAAAGAAACAACCTGAAGTGGTCTGAATGTGCTCAAGGCCCTGACCTGTACCCAGGCCTGGCCAGAGACCGCCCAAAGACCACTTCCACGTGGAATCCTGAGCAGTTCTTTACCACCATCCCCATCCCCAAGCCCCTCAGCCCTCCAGAGTCCTTCCAGAGTTGCCTCCAAAAGGGTAGGCTCCTCAGCTCAGCCACCCTCTCCTGTACTCTCATTCCCATCCATGCTTCCTTCCCTCGAGGACTTTCCTTGTGTGCCTCCTGTTGTTTCAGTTGTTGAAAAATATCATGCCATCTTTGCCTCTTCATAGAACGTTCCCTATCCCTCCCCTCCACGACCCGCTCTGCTCGGAAACAGTTCATCCCTGTGACACTCGTCAGTCTACCACAGGTTTATAGAGCGCACCATTTTCAGTGTTAGAGATACAGAAGTGAACAAGACCGAGGCCCTGCCTCAACGAGGTTCTACGCCTAGTAAGAATAGACAGGATAAGTAAGTCATGTTCTTGTTCTGATAACTTTAGGAAGATGGCAAGATAAGGTAAAGTTATAAAGGGCAACAGGGATGGGCTGTCGCCTGAGACCAGCGCTGTCCAATAGCACTTTCTGTCGCGATGGAGAGTGCATCTGTGCTGTCCGGTATGATAACCACTAGCCACATGTGGCCATTGAGCACTTGAAATATGGCTAGTGTGACTGAGAACCTGAATTTTTTAATTTAGCTTAATTTTGTTTTTTTAAAGATTTTATTTATTTATTTGTCAGAGAGAGAGAGAACACACGAGGAGGGGGGGTGCAGAGGGAGAAGCAGGCTTCTCATCGAGCAGAGAGCCCAATGCAGGACTCGATCTCAGGACCCTGGGATCATGACCTGGACCAAAGGCAGACGCTTAACCGACTGAGTCCCCCCAGGCGTCCCTAATTTAGCTTGATTTTAATAGCCGCACTTGACTAGTAGCTACTGTACGGGACAGCACATCCTTATGAGAGAGTTAGAGTCGAGTCAAGGGCAGCCTTTCTGAGGACAGACATTTTAGTTGAGAACGTAATTAACAAAGATCTCAGGGAAGCACATCTAGACGGAAGGGACAGCAAGTTCAAAGGCCCTGAGGTGGACAAAGCACGACAGAGAGGAAGCCAGTGTGAGTGAAGCACGTGTAGGCAGGAGTGCTGCAGTTCACAGGTGTAGTGTGCAGCGGGGGCACTAACTAATCAGGCCAGACACCAGTCATAACCACACTGGCACCTACCAGCTGACTTTAGCTTTATACCCTAGTGAGGAATTTAGTTTGTTCTTAGAGTAAAGAAAACATTTCAGGCATCCTACGGTAAGTGGTAACATGATCTGATTTGTGTTCTGGAAGATGAACTGCATGGGACAGGGGTGGAGGTGGGACAACAGTGAGGACACCACTGTAGAAATCTAGGTAGAAAATGAAAGTTCTTGGCGTAGGTGCTGCCACTGGAGATAGCGAGAACTCGTCACATCTGGGGTATCCCGTCAGGGCAAGAGCAGTAAGACTTACTGAGAAACTGAACGTGGGGAGGAAGGAAAAGAAGAATGAAGAATGACTACCATGTTTCCGGTCTGAGCAGCTGCTGGTGCCTAGTGCCATTGACTGAGAGGCGGAGGGACTGAGGGAAGTGTATTTGGGTAGAAAAATTAATTAACTCTAACTAAGTTTGATTTGCCTATTAGACCTCCTATTTGGCGATGTCAAATAAGCAACTGAATATGCAAATCGAAAGCCCAGAGGAGAGATGGTCAGCGTACATCATAGAGATGGCATTTCAAGTCTTCTGGCTCTTGGTGGAGGCTGGCCATTCTCCCTCATCCACCGGTAGGGTGTGAGAAGCAGGGTTGGCATTCTGCCACCTGCCCCCTCACTTGCCGATCTTTATTCTCCTGCCCTCACCAATGTGGCCCTCCTCTAGTGAGGCCAGATCAGCAACCACAACACCGTGCAAAGCCCTGCACTCAGCACTCACTGCTGAAACTTCCTGCCAAGCCACTCACCCGTGTTCCCGGAGCATTCACATCCCTGGCTCACTGTCCTCCTGGCCACCAGAGCCCTGCCCCCACCCTCGGGGACACGCCTCATCCAGCACTCTGGCCCCACAGCTCTGTGACCTTCATTTCCTCTTTCCATAGGAAACATGCTTCCTGCCCTCAGGAACTCATTAGAGAAGGGGAAAAGGCACCAAGTGCCTTGCAGATGTTTGATTTTAAAACAGAAGAGTATAAAGAGAGAGGCCACAAAGGAGGGAGTGGTCAGTTCTACCTAAGAGAATCAGAAAAGGCAGGGCGCCTGGCTGGCTTAGTTGGTGGACCGTGCGACTCTTGGTCTCTGGGTTGTGAGTTCAAGCCCCACGTTCGGTGTAGAGATTACTTAAATAAATTTTTTAAAAAGGAAAGAAAACGAAAAGTCTTCATAGAGGATCTGACATCTTTTTTGAAAAATGGGTTTTCGCAGGCCCATGGGAAATAAGGGGAGGGGTTACCCGGACACCCTAGGTGAAGGACACCATCTCGATAAGGGCATGAGGCATGTAACTGCCTGGTGTATTTGGTGGTGCAGGGGGTGTAGAAGGCTGCAAGCATTTGGGTATGGCTGGAACGTAGGATTCAAGGAGGAACATGGCTACAGAGAAGAACAAGGGCCAACTGGACATTATCAGGCAGGCAGTAGAGAGCCACTGAAGCAGGGGAGGGACATGGTCAGAGAGAAGTTTAAAAGAGTCTCTTCAGCAGCCCATTGGAGGAGGGATCACAATCGGGTGAGAGGGCAGGCACTGAGGTCAGTTAGGAGGCACCTGCCGTGGCCAAGTCAGAGACGACAAAGGTCTGCACTAGGGACCAGGGCGGAAAGGAGGGGCCAGATACAAGGAGTGATACTGGGGAGGCAGGGCCTGATGACTGAATAGACATAGGAAGGTGGGGGGCAGGGGAGCTCAGACTGCTGGCTTGGTGCCTTCATGGTGTCATCCACTACAATTGGGAACCCCAGAGGAGGATCCATGATGACCCCTGTTCTGAGCAGGATGAATTTGAGGTGCATCCCACGGAACCTCTAGGTGGACACGTCTAATAGGCAATGGGATAGATGCATCTAGTGCCCAGGGAAGAAGGCTAAGTGGCAGCTCGAGATCTGGGAGCCATCGGCACGGAGGTGAACGCTGGGAATACATGGGACCAGCTGGGGGAGAAAAGGGTGGAGTAAGAAGAGAAGGACAGGGGCGAGTCACTTGCAGCTGAGGGCCAGCGGAGGGGCTGGGCAGCAGACAGACCCAACGGTCCTGGCCGGCCAAGGGCAGGTTGTTGGGTCAAACACAGCTATACACTGGACTGAAGTGCGTACATTTCAGACCTGCTGTGACATAGTCAACCGTGTTAGAATTAGGCTCACAGGGGGTCCAGCACATATATATACATTCCCACGTCTCTAAATTTTCTTTCTCTGTGCTTGTATTCACATCCCTTGGTCAAAGAATCTCAAGGGCAAAAATTCCATAACAGTTGTCCAGCCAAACCCTCCAATCAAACCAGTTTACACATTCCCCCCAAAACATATCTTCTGCCCTCCCATCTCTGCTTTCTAAAATGTCTTCACACCCACCTTCCTCTAGGGCCAGCTCCAAACCCACAGTTACCCCTACCACCCCCATGCCTGTGGTCATTCTCTTCGGTGGGTTACTTAACTATGCATATGCTCCCCAGCATCTCCTGCTTTATACTGTCCCTTTATCCCATTTTATGCTTGGGTCCTGTGTCCAATTAGACTGTAATACTGAGAGTATTAGCTACCATGTATTGAGCACTTACTATGTGTCAGACTCTGTGATAACTGCCTTCTCGTTATCTGATTTGGCAGGTAACACTCGCCCAATGAATAGATGCTGTTATTACCCCTAGTTTACCAAAGAGAAAACCAATGCACAGAAAGGTTGTGTAACTTACCAAAAACCCAGAGCCAAGGAGTGGCCCAGCCGGGGCATGAGCCGGGCCAAACTGCCAGCTTATGAATTCTTACCACTTCCCACTGTCATCTGTTTGCACGCAACAGATGCTTACTTTTGATGATATTATGAATATAATCTTGTAGCGTTTTAGAGTTTGAAGGGATCTTCAAATTTATCTCATTTTACAGATGAGGAAGCTAAGATCCAATAAAACTGATTAACTGCTACAGCCTTTATGGGATTTAATCTGACCCTGACCTCAACATGAAGTATGCAAACCAGGGGGCGCCTGGCTGGCTCAGTCTGTAGAGCAGGCGACTCTTGATCTCTGGGTTTTGAGTTTGAGGCCCATATTGGGTATAGATATAGAGATTACCTAAAAAAAAATAAAAATAAATTTTTTAAAAAGTACACAAACCAGGGAGTAGAAATAAGCATAATGTGGTGTTTTCAGTCGCATAGAAAAACTTCAGACTCTAATGCCAACCGTATCCACGTGCTCTGGCCTCTTCCCACCAGTCCAGCACATGGCCAAAAGATTGGGCTCCAGAGTCAGAAACACAAGGGTTGAATCCTCAGCTCTGCCCCCTTTGAGCTGGCTGGCCTTGAGAAAGTGTCTCAACCTCTAAGCTGCCAATTCCTCACCTGTAAAATGAAGGTCCGGATAGCTCAAGCCTCACAGATGTATGGGAAGTTCGGCCGGGAAACAAGGAATGGGTGTGGAATTAGTTTTGAATCGTGGCCCTGTCTCTTACTATTCTCTTCAGGCAAGTCACCTCACTCTGGGAGCCTCAGCTTCCTCAGCTCTAAAATGGGGGTAATACAGTTCACCTGGAAGACTTGCTATGCACTTCAAAAGGCCTGTTTGTAACAACACTGTAACTCTGCAGGGCTAGTTATGCTGAGTCTTTCTCTCTCATTGTTATAAACCCACTAGGTAACATCCCCAAGCCATTATACATTTACCCATCCTCAGAGTGCTTGTGTCTAGAAAAATATACCAAAAAAATGACAATAAGTGTATTTTTTTTTCCAGGTATCCATATTTCTAAAGGATAGAGTCCAGAATTCTAATGGTCGCTTTGTGTTGCCCGTCTCTGGGCCTGTTCCCTGGGGAACTGAAGTTCCTGGACTCATCAGGTGAATTCTCAACTGTAACCGTCAGACCAACGTTGGGGTGCCAGGGAACAAACATGTGGGCCACCACAGAGAATGCAGCACTGCTGGGTGCCCCCTTCCTTCAGTAAAGCACGGCAGGTAGAAGGTCAGGTTCTCATCCCAGCTGTGCCACTGAGCAGACACTTGAGGCCAACCACCCAGTTCTTCAGGATTCACTTCCTCATCTATTAAATGGTTGCTGTAAGGATGAATAAGATAATAATGCTCTAAAGTGCTTACACAGCACCTGGCACATAATATGTACTTGGTAAATATTATTATTATTGTATTATTATTGCTTCAGCCAGCATCTTTATCTCGAAGGAGTGCATGAATTCCTTTTTGTCCCATAGTACAAAGAATAAAGAAGCCTTCAGGACTCCCCAAGCTTGGAGAACATTCCATCATGTCATATTTGTATTGTAGAATGTTCAACGACAAAGGCAAAGAAGTGAAGAAGATAGAATTCAAGCATGGTGGGCACTATGTCACTGCACCAAAAGAAGGTTCTTTTGAACTTTATGGAGACCGAGTCTTGAAACTGGGAACCAATATGTAAGCAAATTCTCCCTCTCTGAATGAATTCAAGTCTGAGGGAGGTCACTTCACTTAAAAAACCAGCTTGACTTCCGCTATGAAAATCCCTGCTGACAAATGAAATCATTTCCCCTCTCAGATACAGTGCATGCAGAGCACTGACACTTTCAAAGGGCCCCCAACATTCACACACATAGCGCAACGCGCCAGACTGAAAAGATAAATAATTGTAAGTAGCCACGGAAGAGACCTAGCCCAAACCTGTGTCGCAGTGGAGGTCAGAAAGGCGAGGCCTTCATGTAGTGTTCACGTTTTCTGCAGTAAAATACATTCCTTTGCCAGAAGCGCCATTTCCATGCAGCCTCGCAGGTATTTTTTCTTTGGGAAAGCATGAAATCTGTGTGGTTGGCACCCACTTAGTTATGTTCTGTACTCCGAACACATTTCTGGATGCTTTTTAATGTCTCAAAATAGAAGTTATGCGCTCTATTTATGAGTTAGAAGGAAGTCGATGGGAAAGGGCTGGGCAGTGTTTTCACAGTTTTCCGTTGATACCAGGTACAGTATGAACCGGCCCGTGGAAACCCACATGTCTGGAGCATCCAGAAACTTAGCTTCCCGGACACAGGTGAGCTGCTGCCTTCCTTCTTCATCTTCAGAGCTTATTTCTCGACACAAAAATCTAGACGGGGAAAAGGGTGGAAACTCTAGACTTCAAAGCTAGCCAGCGTTTCCCTCGCTGTTTGCAATCTTCTCAGTTCGGCCTTACAAGTACAAAGGTCTTTAATTGTAGTTTCTCATGAAGACTTCCAGTGATCTGACTAATTAGGTAATTTTAGGCTTGGCTCAACCACCATAATTAAGCTAGAACCACACACCAGGCCACGTGAAATAGCATTGTACCAGTGCCACTGGGTCTGTGGTTGCTGAGTCCAGTACTCCTGTGTCTTCTGATCATTACAGCAAACCCTTTTCAGTGCCACCCTCTATAATGCTGTGGTAGCTAAGTTCAAAATGGGGTTTTAGAGTCTCTGAATTCCATCTTTTATAAATTTTCACAGAAGTCGCTACTAGCTAACTCTAGGACAGATCAGGAAATATTCAGTTATTTGGCAAACATCTACTGAACTACTTCTATGGGCTGGGAACCCAGGGACACAAAGCTGGCTTAGAAGGAGAGATGGGCACGCAGACCAAGGTGTCAGTATAAGCAAAGGCACCAAGGGACAAAAGAGCAGAGTGGTATTTGGGGGAAGCCGGGAGGCAGCGTCTCTCCCACCTGGCTAGACCATAATGCAACTGAGGCAGGTGGCCAGAGATTTGCTTATACCAGGGCACTGGGGCCTGATTCCAAAGAGGCTTAAGCAGTTTGGACTTTGCCATTTAGGCAAGAGGCAGAGGGGTTTATCTCCAGCAAGGAAGAAGTAAGAGGAGAACTCTACTTTAGATAAGTGGCGGCAGAGTGACAAAGGAAAAAAAAAAAAAAAAAAGACAGCGGAAGAGGCAGAGCAGGGGGCAGCTCAGAGGAGCGGGCTTGGAAGGAGGGGTGAGCGGTTGAGTGGGGCCAGACTGCCCCAGGAGGGAATGGATCCCGGGTGTGTTCACCACAGTCACCACCTGAGGGCAGTGTGGTAGCTCCGATGGAAGGAGTGCCCTGGGCCCTGGGGCATTTGCTGAGGCTACTTGTAAATGCCCAGGGAACTAGATTGACGGAAGAGGAAGCAATGTTCTCCTTCAAGGAGGAAGGTCGTCGGAGGAGAACGGGGATGTCTGGGGCCCTCCACTCATCTTGAAAGTGAGAATCTCTGGTTTGCTGCCTTGCTAATAAGAGTCCTTCTGCTTCTGATGTGGATTTTTTCTGTTTGGGTTAAGCCTGTTTTCTATGCTTTATTTGGACACAGTTCTTCCCAAGATAAATTAAACAGTTATTGTTTTGCCTGGTTCTATAATACCACCGTGGGTCTCGAGGGTCTCAGCAGGAAATGTGATCACCTTCATGTGGCTAAAAATCATGAAATTGTTTCTGCAGGAAAGCATTGCTCCAAACCCTCTTGCTAAAGAAGAGCTGAATTTCTTGGCCAGGCTGATGGGAGGGATGGAGATTAAGAAACCCAGTGGTCCTGAGCCAGGATTCCGGTTGAATCTCTTTACCACTGATGAAGAGGAGGAGTACGTGTTAAACCTGTTTCTTACAAGGCATATCTAAAAATCCTAAGTGTGATAAGAACCAGAAAATGGCCATTATAAACCAGTAACACTTATAAATATAGATGTAAAGGTCACAGAGGACAAACCAGCAAATTAAGTAACCTAGTTAAGGAAGAATCCACCAGTATTAAATAGTCTGAAACTTCTGGATTCATTCAAGAAATAGTTCTAATGTTTTACTTAGCAAAGCATAGCTGAACAAGAAGTATTGGAAGTCAAGATAATCATAGTAAGAAAAATCTGTTTAGAAACCAGAGGGGAGTCAGAGCATGATGTCTTTGGGATAGGACAGTCTCCCCCAAAACCAATAGGAAGAGTCATCCACCCAGATTTATACAGAGCTTTACAGTTTATAGAGCACTTTTGCACCATTATCTCATGTGACCCTCCTCACAACCAGATATTTGGGGTGGGGGTTGCCTTCTAGTTCCATATCCACTGAACTAACTTTTGTGCACCTGTGTGCTTACTATGGTAAGTGCCGGGGACACAAAGATGGGAGTGTAAGACCTAGAGCCTGTCCTCAGGAGCTCGCAGGGTAGGAAGAGAATGTACCGGACACAAGTTATTTCAGTGCCATGTCATAAATGCGCTAATGGAGGACTCAGTGATTGACTTTGCACCGGCAGATGGAGGGAGTTGGCATCTGGGCTTGGTATTGGAGTTTGCCAAGCAGAGGAAAGGGAAAAACCTTCTTGGCCCAGTTCAGTACATGCAAAGGCACAGAGACTATAGATAAGGACTTGACTTTCTGGAGCATAGGGTGCACTGCTTGGGGAAAGGGCAGAAAGCTGAAGGGAAGTGGCAGAAGGTGAGGCAGAGAAAAACAGGCAGTGAAATTATCAGATGCCAGTGTGCCACACTGGCAGGGAGAAAACCCTAACCTTTGACCCATTTCTCTACCACCTCCTGCAGACAAGCAGCGCTAACCAGGCCAGAAGAGTTATCCTATGAGGTTCTCAACATACAAGCTACTCAGGTGGGTGCAGGCGATTACACAAGCCAAGCGTCAGTCCCCTCCTCATCTCCTGCCAACCTCGAACGTCCCACGCCCTCCCTTCTCTCTCATCAGCATGTATCCAGAATCCCTATTCTGACACGCATCACAGTGGCGGGACAAAAATTCAACACCGTCTGCTCGGAGAAGCCGTGTGGCTGACACACCCTTCTCAGGCTTGCCCTCTCACTTCTCCAACAGGACCAGCAAAGGAACAAGGAGCTGGCTCGCATCATGGGGGAGTTTGAGGTCATGGACCAGCCAAGGCAGAGCGCCAGCAAGGGGGATGATCTGCTTGCCATGATGGATGAGTTATAGCTGTGCTGGCCCGGCACCCCCCCCCCCCAACGCCCCCTATGGGACAGGCTGCCTGATAAGGACCCTGGGGATGCTCCAGGGAGCAAAATGATGCTGCGAGTTTTATACCGAGCAGTTAACTCCCATTTCTGTCTATGTTGTAACGAACTATGCAGGTCTCCCTCAAGGAGTGCCATGTCTGGAAGGCACACACATATGCATGTTTTCAGCAAAATAGATTCTGGCTTTTAAATTGGACCTTTTCTGTTTTCTTCTGGTTTTATGGCAACCATCCAAAGCATCCTGGGCCATAGGTTCAAGCACCAGAGTCGCTGAGGGGGCACACCTGTTGCTGCTTTCAACTGTACCTTTCCTGTGGACACGTGCAGCCCACAGATGCCTGTCTGTGGATCATCACGAAACTTCAGAGCTTCCTGGGATGTACTCGGCCTTGTGAGTGAGTTTGAAATAGGTGGGAAAGGCGGTTGGGGCCCAGTTTAGACAGTCCTCCTCTGCCCAGCTCCCTGGAAATTGTAACCTCCCAGAGGCCAAGTAAGCCAAGCCATGACCAGGAACACACAGCTGGGCCCCACGTGGAGCAGGTGGGTGTTCTCTGTCGTTCTCTGCCCATCTTACAATTTGTATGTGGTGTGGGCTTATCCCATATGGAAATGTGTAACAAGGAAATGGTTTGCTTGATATGTACTCCTCACCCCCAGAGTCTTCCTCTGCCACTTAGTGTTCTTGCCTTCTAAAGAACCCCCAGCATGATGCGCCATGACATCCATTTCCACTTCACCCTCAGGGGCCGGGCAGAGCTGTAAGTGAGTGGGATACGTGGGAGGCACTCATGGTGTGCCACTTTCCCTTCCACGGACCAGATGAGTTACTTCCCCTGGCAGGAGGCCAAGTCTAATTAAGATCCATGTAAAATATCTCAGGCCAGGACTGCCCGAATTGCTTCAGAAAGGAGAATTAGCCCTCCACCACATGCTCATCCTGGACTGAGTAACTGGCAAGCTCAGGGCCAGCCAACATCTAGAGGTCAGGGTCCATTGAGTCCCATGGAGGGAATATCCAGAATGCTGGAAGGCAAGAGAGAAATGGAGCTGAGCCGGTCATTGCCTGGGATGGAGCCAACCACAGGGACCACTCTGGCCCCTCACACCACAAGAGTGGAGGCAGACATACTTTTGGAATGTGAGGGCCAGGGAAGCTGTCCTTAGCCTGGCTAAGGCATAGTGTTTGGATACAGAAAGATAAGTCACCAAATGAACTTAACGTTGCTTCCTACCAATGAGAGTTACACTTCTTACCTGCACAACCCCACAGAAGGGCTCTTGGGGAGGAGAAGCATAGCATGCTATAAGCTGCTTGTTACAGCTTACAAAGTACCCTCTGTTGTAGTCTCTTTTAAGCAATCTGGCCACCAGTTGGGGTGGCCTGAAAGGGTGACAGATGAAGGAAGAGGCTCTCTCCTGTTCTGAGTCAGGTTTCCACCATGCTGCTACAAACCCAGACTTCACTGCTTGCTCCAGGCCTGTCCTAGGGCCTTGGAGGTGGGCCGCCAGCTGCCGAGAAGCAGCCTCCTCCCTTCACCTATCCCAGAGCCATGCGGATGATTTCAAACGTGTCTGTTCCCTCAGTAAATAAACAAGATACAGATCTCCAGTAGGGCAGCCTTGTGATGAGGCAACCTTTGACTTTCATGTCTCTAGACTTGCACAGATATTGAGAAAAACAAGTTTACCTGTGTGGTGTTTGAGGGCATGCAGAGAAAGGAGGCAGGAGGAGGCAAAGAAAATGGAAGACAGGGATTGCTCTGGCAAGAATGTGGGCTGGGCACTAACTGGGTACTAACAACACAACAGTGTTCATTTAAAACCAGGCCCCCGCGTACGAGAGTATCCTACCATAGTGCCCAGTGTGCTTCAGGGGAAGGTGCCTGTCGTCAGAGTCAGGACACTGGGCTCTGGCCCCAGCCCTGCCCCAAATTCACCATGACCTCTCGGGCAGTCACTCTCATTGACCCTTGGTTCCCTCACCTGGAAGAAAGAGAAAGAACTTGTTCACGGGCTTAAAGCTGGCTCGCCCAGTTACAGTGATGAGTGTATAGATTGCTAGGCCCTGCCCCAGGTGGGAGCTGAGAACTGGGATTTATACCCACACCGCCCCGCACTCCATGCTTCAGGGGTAAATTTGCTCTCTTTCAGCTCTCCGGTGACTAACCTCTTCACAGCTGAGTTTCAAACTATTCCATTCCTATTCATACAGTGTTGGCATGCCCTACAGATTATGGAAGGCAAAGTTCTAGAAAAGTCTTCTGAACAAAAGTTCTTTAATGGCTCCCAGAAGAAAGGCGTAAAAAATGAGAGTGAAGGGGAAAACGAAAAGGGGGAAAGGTGTATTTAGCCCTGCCCTCAGTTCTAAGAGGAAAGCCACCTAGTCCACATATGTATCTAGCAATTCTTTTATTTTTTTCCAAGATTTTTTTTGTTCCCTTGACAGAGAGAGAGAGAGCACAAGCAGGGGGAGTGGGAGAGGGAGAAGTAGGCTCCCCGCTGGGCAGGGAGCTCAACGTGGGGCTCAAACCCCAGACTCCGGGATCATGACCTGAGCCAAAGGCAGACCCCCAACCAACTGAGCCACACAGGCACCCCATGTATCTAGCAATTCTTAAAGGTGAACTCACTTTTTCCATCCCCAACATGGTAACCAGATCCCGGAGATCCTCAGGTCTAAACAGGGTCACCGACCCTCATCCGCTTGCACCTGCTTTATCACCGGTTTATATCCAGGATAGAGGCCAACTTTAAGCCATGGAAAACCAAAGAAAGAGAAATGTGAACTTTAGAAAATATATCTATTTATTTACCATAGTACCTAATCATAAAGACCCAAAACCTTCACTTCCTTTGTATTGTGCCCTGGGTAACTCCTCCTCAGCTGCCAAATTCCTGGACAGCCAGCAGGAGAGGGGGTTAAAGGAAGTGTTTACCAGGGGTTGGAGTAAGAAAACCCCATCACAGTTGGATCTTGCCCTCACAGCTTTGTGACTTAGTGTGAAATAAATTCTCAGATCATAACTCACCCTTCTCAAATGAGAACGTCAAAATGCATTCCACGGGCCAATGGAAATTACTCTGAATTATTTGATTAACACCTCCCCCCACTACTCTCTCACACACACACACACACACACACACACACACACACACACACACTACATTCTTTTTGTTTCTGGCCAGTGGTGCCTCTGCTGACAAAAATAACATTACCTTCTCTGTCAGTTCCCCAAACTACATGAAACCCCAGCTGCATTAGTCATGGTGAAGCTACTCTGCTAAGAGCTGGGGCAGGCCCAGGACTCCTAAATCCGAGACGCGCACATTTGCCTCAGATCACTCTGCCCTCCTTTGTCTTTACAAAACTCTCTAACTTCCTTTTGAAATGTTGAGGCCATCGGGTTTTTTGGGGCGGGGGGTCCAAGAGGAAGTCATGGTGTCCGCCAAGGACCTTTGATGCAGGTTTTCTGGATGGCCTGTCCTAAGGGCCTCTCAGCTTCAGTTACCACTTTTTCATGTACTTTCCTTCATCTCTCCTCCCCACTTCAGCATATCTTTTATCTGTACCCTTCCTGCCCTCAGTCACACCCAGCCTTCTTTCTGCACCTCAGACATGTATCTGAATGGCTGCTGAGGATGAACTCCCAGCCAAATGCTCCCACCCACACCTTGGGCCTCTGTTTCTCCAGGTGGTCCTGTTCCTCTGTTCACTCAGCTGCACTCCAGGCTTCCTGGTCGCCTCCCCCCATCCCCCCCGGCCTCCAGCTCCCATCACCACACAGATCCTTCTCCCTTCTCCTCCAGCCCTGACTCTGTGACTCTGCCCGAGGCAGTGGTCTGCTCTCGTCCCCATTCCCCTCGGCCTTTGGAAGCCTCTTCTTGGCCCTGCTAAACTCCATTTTCTTCCTCAAACTCTCTCCCCCTTTGGCCACAGTGGCTCACATCCTACTTTCTGACCACACTTCCTCTCTCTCCCTCAGTGGCTCCTGATTGAGGATTGCCCTGCATGGGACAGATGTTGCTGTAGCCATTTTTAAAAAGTCTGTCAAAATGGCCAGGTCAGGAGCACCTGGGTGGCTCAGTCAGTTCCCCCGGCTTGTGTGCACTCTCATTTTCTCTCTCTCTCACAATAAATAAATAAAATCTTTAAAAAAGATGGCTAGGTCAATTGCCAGATGGCCCCTGTTTCACCCCCGGCTTCTCTCCCCATTCCTCACTCTCTTCTCATCCCCCCCCCATCCTGCCACCCCAGACCACAGGCTCTCCTGTGCCCTGCAGCTCCCAAAAGTGTTGACATCACTTTCTTCCCAAGAGGCTGTTATTTTCAACTATCACTATTGACTCGCAAATCTCTGTGACCCCCTCCTCGCCTGGACTGCAGGCTCACTTTCCCTGAGATCTTCCACATCACCTCATAACTCAGTGTCCAACACTAATGTCATTTTTACTTCTTTGGTACATTTACCTTACTTTCAACAGGCTAAAGAAACTTCTAAAATTAAATAGAATACAGGGGCGCCTGGGTTGCTCAGTCAGTTGAGCATCTGGCTCTTGGTTTCAGCTCAGGTCATGATCTCAGGGTGTGAGACTGAGCCCTGAGTGGGGCTCCGTGCTCAGCGGGGGGTCTGCTTCCCCTCTCCCTCTGCCCCTCCCCTGGCTCCAGCATGCGCAGTCTCTCTCTCTCTCTCTCTCTCTCTCTCTCTCTCTAATAAATAAACCATTAAACGTAATACAGAATAGGACAATTTTCCACAGAAAGGAACTAGACGCAATGGGTAGAAGTTACCAAAAACATCCTAACAATGGACTCAGATGCCTGGGAGCAAGTGGCTGTCGAGGAGTTTGCACACTGGGTGCTGACTTGGAGCAGGTGACCTGGGAATTGCCCTCTCGGGATTCTGTGACCCTCTGACAATTAGAAACTGAACCGTAACAGCTCATCTAAAGGGAACAGAGACATTCAAGCTCCTGAAATGAACGCAATTCAAGTGGGCCCAGTACTAGGCTAGGTGTTGGACTGCAAAAAACTGAAACCAATTCTGGCTACTTAACTAGAGAAGGAATGTACTTAAAGGGCTTCAGGCAACTCACGGTTGTCAGGAAGACTGGAGAAGCATGAGAGGGCGGCTGGGAGCCCAGGAGGGGCAGGCAGCAGAGGAGAGGACCAGCAACGAGGCCTGGATGGTGCAGACACCGGGATGGGGCCTGAACAGTCCCCGCTGGCTTAGGTCACAAGCGCACACCATAACTGACAAGGACCGGAGACAATATCTGGCCCTTAAATCATCTGTAGTGGGAAGAAGAACCCTACTTGCCACCAAAATGCGTAGAACGTCAGATTTCCCCAAATGTGGGGAAAGGAGATTAATTGGCTGAGTAGCCAAAAAATGAGGTAGCCCCCACAGGGTCATTCCACCATCTCTCAAGATACCCAGAGTTAAAATTTAAAATTTAAAATCATCGAGGGACTGCTGGTGGGCTTAGTCAGAAGAGCATGCAACTCTTGACCAGGACATTGTGAGTTCGAGCCCCCACGCTGGGTATAGAGATTACTAAAAAAATAAATAAACTTAAAAAAATTTTTTTAGGGGTTCCTGGGTGGCTCAGTCGGTTAAGCGTCCAACTCTTGGGGCGCCTGGGTGGCTCAGTCGTTAAGCGTCTGCCTTCAGCTCAGGTCATGATCCTAGAGTCCTGGAATCGAGCCCCGCATTGGGGCTGCTCAGCGGAAGCCTGCTTATCCTTCTCCCACTCCCCCGTTTGTGTTCCCTCTCTCGCTGTGTCTCTCTCTGTCAAATAAATAAATAAAATCTTTAAAAAAAAAAAAAAGCATCCAACTCTTGATTTCAGCTCAGGTCATGATCTCAAAGTCCTGGGATCGAGGCCTGCCTCGGGCTCCATGCTCAACAGGGAGTCTGCTTGAGATTCTCTCTCTGCCCCTCCCTCTGAGTGCACCTCCCTCAAATAAATAAAGAAATCTTTTATCCATTTATTTGAGAGAGAGAGCACGAGCAGAGGGAAGAGGCAGAGGGAGAAGCAGATTCCCCGCTGAGCAGGGAGCCTGACATGGGGCTCGATCCCAGGACCCCAGGATCATGACCTGAGCTGACTGCAAGACACTTGGGTGCCCCAATAAGTAAATCTTAAAAAAAAAAAAAAAAAAAAAAATGTTAGTCATTGATTCCTCCTCTTCCCACCCACACTCCAGATCTAATCAGCCTTCAGGGAGACTGATTAGCTTATTTCAGTCTTTAACGTTCAGCCCTTCTTTCCATTCCCACTGCCACCATCTTCATTCAGATCCCTGTCACCTTCTCACCACAATCATAAAGCCAGTGTTCCTCATACAACTGTCTTGTAGTGTGAAGCATTTGGGCCTCCTAAGGCCTTCTCTTTGTCTCAGCACCCAGGAGACTAGTAGGGGAGGAAGTAAGATTAACATAAATAAGTATGGTGAATCTGCATATGACAAGCAAACATACAGCAAGCAATATGTTACAGGGGTTAGAGGAGAGACATCACTCCCAAATGGGGCAATTGGTGAAGATTTCAGAAAGGTGCAGCAATTGAGCCAGGCTTTGAAGGAGGGATTGGACTTAACATCCAAAGATAAACAAGAGAGGATCCAAGGCAGATGTAGCAGGATAACAAAGGCAGAGGCAGGAGTGTGGGGCTTGTCTGACTTGCTGAGTGGCTAGGTCTAACTAGAGGGGAGGACACTGGATCTCAAATTTTAGTGTGCGCATTATTGGGTGTGCAGCTCTCCGAACTCCGCCTCTGATTCTGGGAAACAAAGCCTTCCATGGAGGCAACTTGTTCCCACACCACACTTTAAGAAACACTGGCTGGAGGGTTTGAGTAGAGAACCTCAAAGAGATCCAGATGGAACGTGAGTTGGAATCAGATCAATGTCAGCACTGGAACCTTTATTCTGCTAGTGAATCAAAAGTTTTCTTAGCAGGTAAATGATAAAATCATAACTATATTTTGAATCCGTTGGCGAATGATCATGAGCCACAAAGACCAGTAAGATGGTTTTTATAATGAATCAAATGAGAGAAAGAAGATCTCAACTGGGTCGGCGGCAGTCAGAATAAAAAGGCAAGTGAAGGGTGAGAGACCCTTCTTCCAAGAATTTGCCGGGCTCAGTGACTGACAGGTGTAGGGAATCAAGAAATGACCAAAATTATCATGTTTATTCAAGGTGCCCAATTTGAGTAGCTGGAAAATGGCAGTAGCAACTACAGAAATAGAAAAAATCAGAACAGCTGATTTGGGAAGGATTGATAAATCTGTCTTGTAGACATGCTGACTTTCAAGGACCATTAAGACATGTGGGAATAAGCAACAGGCAGTTGGGAAATGGAGTTCTGTAGAGCAGTCTGGGCTGGTGAGCTAGACAAGGACTCAGCACATAGTAGCAGGCAGCATGGATAGACATGACCAATTAGAGAGCGAGGCTGGGAATACAGCCCCAGAGAAAGCACACACGTTAGGGAGCAGGAGAATGAAATGGGGTTTAAAAAGAGAGAGAGATGGAGAAGAAACAATCGGAAATATGTGAAACCAAATGATACAATGCCCCAGGGGGGGAAAAAAAAGAACAGGAGAATGGTCATGAAGTTGGAAAAAGGACTACACTTGGAGAACCACAGGTGTAGAGGCCTCCTCGAGAAGTTCAAGTGTGGAAGGTAGGAGAACAAGAGTAGTTTGCATGGACAAAGGCAGATTGTATTATTAGGATGAGAAGAGACCAACTGTGGTCTTTGGGAAAAGGGGAAGGCTTCTGGGGGAGCTGGAAATCAATGAATGAGAGAGTGAAGGAATGAAACAAGCCTACCTCCAATAGAGCCAGGTGCTTTCATGTATGAATGAAGGTCAGTTCTCTGAGATAGACATTACCTTGTTTTTTTCTAACAGGGAAATTGAGGCTTTTACCATGGCTATAGAGTGACCTTTGAAAAATGTAAATCAGATCACATCACACAGACACCCCCCCTTTGATAGCCCATCATTGCACTTCTAGTAATACATGAGGAAACCTGGGCACAGAGAGGATGATTCACTTGTGGAAAGTCAGTTAGCAGGGAGCAGATTTGAAGCTAGGCACTGCCTCCAAACCCCTTACCTTGGCTTACAAAGCCACAAGTGCTCGGGCTCTTGCCTCCCTCTCCCACCTCTTGGCATACAACTGCCCTGTCTTACTGGCTTCTCCGTTTTTCCAAATTGGCGAGCACATTTCCACCAGGTCCTTGGCACAAACAGTTCCCTCTAATTGCAGTGCTCCTCCCCTAGTTTTCACAAGTTGGTTTTATGTCATTGATCTCCGCTCAGATGTCACCTTCTCAGGACACCCCTGATCATTCAATAAAAAGCCACCCAGTCACTATCACGTCACGCTATTTTAATTCTCTGAAGGGCTTTTATCATTTTGTTTGTTTTCTTATGGACGCCCGCCCCCAAGTGGATTTACGGGTCACCAGATCAGGGAGCTCGTCTCCTTGGTCACCGATGGGTGTCCAGGGCCGGGGAGGCGGCCTGACGCACGGTGGGGGTTCAATGAGTATTTGTTGAAAGAAATGAGTGGCTCCAGTGAAATAGACACCCCAAGACACAGGCCCGGAGTCGCCGGAGCGCGAGCGCGAGCACGCGGCCCGCGAGGCATTCTGGGGGTTGTAGTTCCGGGCGCGTCCGCGGTGGTGCGGGCCTACGTCGGCCGCGCTCTCTATGCTCGCGGAGGACAGAGTGGCCCAGCTGTTGCCATGGCTTCTCGGTCCCGCCGCGGGAGGGAGGCAGCCCAGCCAGGCGCCCGCTAGCTTCGGCGGCGGGGTGGACCGGGAAGCGGAAGGAATCCGGTGCGGTGGGTCCCGGAGCCTGGGGCGGAGCGCGGGGGCGCCCGGAACCCCGGACAGCTGCGGGGAGCGGGGGAAGCGCTTCCTTCCCGATTTGCCGAGTAGAGCCGGTCTCCCCACGCCCACCCCCACTGCTCCGTGAGTAAAGGGTCGTCACCATCCCCATTTTTCCGCTGGGCTAACAGGTTTGAAGAAGCTAAGCGGCTTGCTCGAGGTCGCTTTCCTGGGAAGTGGCAGAGCCCGTCCTAGAGCCCGGGACTGCTCCTTTGCAGTCCCCCCGGGCAGCCCTTCCTTATCCTCGCCGGGGCGCATTCTGGTGAAGCCTGGGTGGGGTCCTTACAGTCCGGCCCGACGCCCCCATCGGTGGTGTGGTCCGGCTTGCTACACTGAATGCCACCCTGCACAGCCCGGGTAGGGGTTGAGTGAGGTCTTAGGGGGGAAAGTTCCACCACCTTCCACTGAGTCCGAGAAAAGGGGCTAGATAAGACAGAGTTACAATTAATACAGCATCAGTACGTGGTGAAAGCAAAGTACATTCCGTGTGGGCAGATTCTGTTAGCCTCGTTTAGCCTCTGGTTTAATAGATGTGGAAACAGGTTCAGAGACATTAAGTGTAACTGTCCTAGGTTTACAGAGTTTGTGGGTGGAGTGAGGATTCCAACCTATTTTTCTCTGCCTTCAAAACCTATGTGTTTTATATGCTGCCATGTTGCGGTTTTTTGTTTTTGTTTTTTTCCAGTTTACCAAAATTTCTACTTCCGTGGTGGCTGCATGGTGTAGACCAGTCACTCCGGGAACATGGGCCCCAGACCAGCAATATCAGGGTTAACTGAAAACATGTTAGAAATTACATTGCTGGGCACCACCTCAGACCTACTAAGTTTGAAACTGAGAGGGGAGCCCAGCATTCTGCAATTTAACAAGTCCTCAGGTGACTCCGATACACACTAACATTTGAGAACTACTGGTGATTGATGTAGAATTCATGATAAAGTGCAGTTTCTTTCAGTCAGTCTGGGGAGAGACCAGAGATTCTGCATTCCCTTTTTTTAAGATTTTATTAATTTTTTATTTGAGAGCGAGAGAGAGAGAGCAGGGGCAGAGGGAGAGGGAGAAGCAGGCTCCCAGCTGAGCAAGGAGCCCAACCTGGGACTTGATCCCAGGACCCTGGGATCATGACCTGAGCCGAAGGCAGATTTAACCAGCTGAGCCACCTAAGCGCCCGGGATTCTGCATTCCTAGCCAGTGCCTGGGTGATGCTGAAAATGCTGGTCCACAGACTGGCAAGGGTGTAAACTACACTTTAGAGCAGCGGTTCTCCAACTTGGACGCACATCAGAATTACTTGTGAAGCTTTTAAAAATAGGATACCCGGGCCCCACCCTTGACCAAATGAATCAGACCCTCTGCGGGGGGGTGGGGGGGGGGGGGGGGGGGGGGAGCAGCTGGTAAAAACTCACCAGGTGATTCTGCCTTGCAGTGAGGGTTCAGAAGTAGCGGTATGGGTGCCTGGGTGGCTCAGTTGGTTAAGCGACTGCCTTCGGCTCAGGTCATGATCCTGGAGTCCCGGGATCGAGTCCCGCGTCGGGCTCCCTGCTCGGCGGGGAGTCTGCTTCTCCCTCTGACCCTCTTCCTTCTCTCGTGCTCTCTGTCTCTCATTCTCTCTCTCTCAAATAAATAAATAAAATCTTTAAAAAAAAAAAAAAGTAGCGGTATGAGGTTGGGAGTCAGGCAGTGATAGATTTGAATCTCAGCACCTCCAGGTATCAACTGTGTGACCTTGGGCAAGTCACATCTCTTGCTCATATTTTCTTTATTTACAAGATGTGTGTAAGTAATTCTTAGCTTGCCTGGTAGCGTGAGGATTCTGTGAGACGTGTGCACGAAGCACCTGGCACCGAAGGGTGTTCCGCAGACACAGAGATTGGGGGGCCAGGCAGACTTGGAGAGGTCTGTGCTAGAGCCTGGTAGAGGTGAGTTGGCAGTTGCAGCCCCTAGCTTGCCACAGCTCCCGTCTGTGTGCTTCTCCCCCCACAGCCAGCAGCCTTCGGTGTGGAAGAATGGCAGTGAGCCACTCGGTGAAGGAGCGGACCATCTCTGAGAACAGCCTGATTATCCTGCTGCAGGGCCTCCAGGGCCAGGTAACCACCGTGGACCTGCGGGATGAGAGCGTGGCCCGCGGACGCATAGACAATGTGGATGCTTTCATGAACATCCGCCTGGCCAACGTCACCTACACAGACCGCTGGGGGCATCAGGTTGAGCTGGATGACCTCTTCGTGACGGGCCGTAACGTCCGTTATGTCCACATCCCAGATGATGTGAACATCACAGCGACCATTGAGCAGCAGCTGCAGGTCATCCACCGGGTGCGCAACTTCGGCAGCAAGGGCCAAGGCCGGCGGGAATTTCCCTCCAAAAAGTATAAATGAGCCTTCCCCTCGGCCAGCTCCAGTCCCCACTCAGGTTCCTCCAGAGTTCTACTGAGCCAACCGCCTGCTCCCCTCCCTGCCCAGAGTCTGGAAAGAGAGCGGGCCCGGCCCAGTCACAGCTGCCTTTCACAGGGTCCCGTCTCCTAGACTCACTCTGGGATCCTACTTACCTGTCTGTGGCCTTGATCATTTACGTCGGAATCTGATTTACTGATTTAGGGAATCTGCCAAATCGTTTTCAGCCCTCTCCCAGTGAGGGTTCTCGAGTGTACTCAGCCTGAGCCACCCCTGAGCGTTCCGGTTTCTCACAATTGTGTTTGCTTTCTCAGAAAACTTGGATACAAACAAGTCCGTGCCTCATGCTTTCCCTGATGTGTGCTGGGCTCCGTGTGGGTCCTGCGTCATAGGGCAGTGGTGCTTAAATGTGGCAGCACATTGCCATCACCTGTCCCACCATCAGCTATTCAGACTGGTATTGGGTGTAGCCTGGACATTGGGATTCTTTTTAAGTTTCTCAGGTGAGGGGTGCTTGGGTGGCTCAGTCGGTTAAGTGTCTGCCTTCGGCTGAGGTCATGATCCCAGGGTCCTGGGATCGAGCCCCGAGTCAGGCTCCCTGCTCAGTGGGAAGCCTGCTTCTCCCTCTCCCTCTGCTGCTTCCCCTGCTCCTTCTCTCTCTCTCTCCCTCTCTCACTCTCTCTCAAATAAATAAAATCTTTAAAAAAAAAAAAAGTTTCTCAGGTGATACTAATAAGCAGCAAAGTTTGAGAATTGAAGGTGAGTGCTTCAGTCTGGCCAGATGGAAAGTGGCTTTTCTGTTCAGATTCCCTGTTGAAGAGGCTGTTCATCTCCTTGCTCTTCCCTGAGGTGGGGAGGTTGAGGTAATCCTGGGCCCTCCCCTCGAGTGTGGGAGCTCATCCAACAGCAAGAAATCAGTCTCCGATTCTGAGAAGTTTGGGGGTCCTCAGGAAGAAGGGGCTCTCGGGGGTAGAACCCAGGTCTTTGTCATAGCTGCCTTGCAGCCATACCAGCCCTGCCACGGGCAAGTGACCATCTCAATAAAAGCAGCTGTGTCCTCATCAAACATCCACAGAGCAGCTGCCGTGTGCCAGGCCTTCTGCTGAGCACACTGTCGAATTAGATTTGGTCCCTTCCAGAGCGGGGCTTACGGTCTAGTGGGGGAGGTGGTCGAGAAACAGGAGCGGAAATCCAGCCTAAGAACTGCCGCCCCCGAGTCTCAAGTAAGGCAGGGGCCTTTGACCTTCGGATGCTTTCATTTCTCCAGGGGGACTTGAGTGCTCCCTTGGGCACTAGCAGCCCAAGGCATCGCGTTCACCTTCCCTCCCAGTCTTTGTCAAAGTGTTGTCCTTGACCCACCTCATCAGAACCCACTGGGACGTGTCTGGAAAAGCCGCTTTGCTGGCTCCCCCTTCCCCAATGTGAACCAGAATCCAGAACCCAGGAATCTGCATCATTAACACCCACACACCCACCCACCATGATTCTTTGGAATACTGTTTATTTCATCACCTAGAGGTCCCAGAAGTCCCTGAGACTTGACCTTTGCCTAAAGGAGAGAACAGTGGGTTCTAGCAGGGAGATGACAACTCTGAGTTTCCAGGCCCCTCTGACAGCCCCAGGTAAGGGGAGCAACACCACAAGGTATCTGCTGCTTGGAGAAACCAGAGGGCGGGCACAGAAGGGAGGGCCTCGCTGTAGGGATGTCCGCTCGCTTGCAGTAAGCGGGGAGGGCTGCCCCATCCAGAGGGACGAATGCGGGGAGTCCCACAGCAGCCTCTGCAGATGTCTCCCACATGTCTGCAGATGTTTCCAAACGTGAAGAGGGCTTATGCTGGGAGTTTGGCCTGGAGATGGAGGAGAGGTCCCACGCTTTTAAGTGATGTGCCAGCACTTCTGTGGCCTCAGCAGAGCAAGGGAGAGCCCCCAGGCCGGGGAGGGAAGCCCTCAGGCTAGCGCGGACTGCTCAGACCCAAGCACATGTCTTCATTCCGGAAGCATCGCGCGCCAGACCCCACAGACCCACTGTCATCCCTACATGAGGCGCTGGAAGGATAGAGCCAAAGGAGGGGAGACAGGCCCGCTGAGACATACTTATGCTGAACCCCTAAATCTGCAAGCCCCAGGGATGTGGGTCTTTTGGCATCTGGTCCAGGATTGCTGGGAAAGGCTGCCAGGGGCCCAGGAAGGATGGGGGGGTGAGCTTAGTGCCCACCAGCCCATGGTGAGCCAGATTCCCCCAGCTGCTGCCCACCATTCGTTCCACTAAGCTATCTAGTCACCATACCAGCTGCTGAAGTAACGTCAGGACGGACAAGGGTCCTGCCCCCGGGAAGCCGATGTTCTACAGGGGAAGACTGACAATGAAAAAAAGTAAAAATTCTTACAGATGTCATGAAGGAAATAAACAGGGTACTCTAGAGAGAACACAGGTGGTTTTATTTTGGAAAGTGTGGTCTGAAGAAATGAAATGTAAACCAAGAAGGACCCTAATGTTTAAAGAGCCAAGGGAAGGCAGAATGAGCGTCCAGTGCAAAGGTCCTGGGGTGGGGGGGGGCAGTAACCGGACCACTGAGACTATCAGAGGAGAGAGAAGCACGTGAGCCTAGAGAAGGGGACAGGGCTGGGGCAAATGATACCAGGCCTTGTGCCTGAGGAGCATAGTGGTTCCAGTTCCCAGTGCATGAGAAACAGAACTTGAATGGTTCCCTACTCAGCTGAGTTCCTACTTCACCCCGTTGAGCCAGCGTGGCAGAAACTCAAAGTTCTCCCTTTCCTTGGAACTGGTTGAATTCTAGCACATTTCCCTTAAGGGTGGCCAGCGTGGGAAAGGTGGTCTGGTCTGATGCTCATCCGATCATGCTAGCATCACTGAGATGTCGTTGTTTCCTTCTGGCCTCTTGTGGTCAGCCCACTCAGGCTGCCACCCAGTTGCTCCTCCCTGACCCACAGACCCCTTCAGGAGTAACCCATACCTCTCTTGGTGCTCAGATTTTTATTCTACTTTTCCCAAGCCTTATTAGGCCCAGGAAATTCTTAGGCTCTTGGCTTAGTTAGGCCCTGTTTGCCCAAATGCAGCACACAGCTGTTTCTTTGGAGGGTTTTGTTCCTTCCTGGCACTCCCCCAGGAAAAGAGCACAGCTCTGAGCGCCCCCCAGGCCCTGAGACCCAGCTGACACCCTCCAGCTCCCAGGCTAAGGAGAAGCTGGTCTAGTCTCAGGGACCCCCCCTCACACACACAAGTCTCAATCTCCCAGATCCTCCTTGCTACAGTTTTCTAAATTTGTATGTGGATAGAAATTCCATTCCTCCCTGAAGGCTAGGCTTTTGGAATTCAGAAGCTAAAAATGAGCTCTACATTCTGTTGTCTCGCTTGTTTCCCAAAGTCACGAAGGCAGAGTAACGTAACTATCTGCATAAGGGAAGGGAGGGACACCAAAGAAAATATGAAAAACATATTTCCAAATGTTATCGCCCTGCTGGATTTGGTGTTTTGCTGTTCATTGCCGTGGTCTTTGTTCAAGCATGCCCCCCATGTTGGTGTACATGTATGCTTGAACAAAGAAATTCTGATTGCTTCGGGTAGCCTGCTGGGTCCCCATCTTGCCCAGCCCTCCTGGAGAGAAGAGGCACACACTGCATTAGGTCTCTGTCATTCGGAGGAGGGGACGCCAGGGTGGGCATACAGCTGGAGGTTCAGATCTCCCTGGGGGCCAGCCGAGTGATGCAGGCCCCCCCCAACCCTGGCTCTCAGCCAGATGGGGCATGAAGGAGAGCATCCAGCTCCCTAAATTCCAGTCTGGCAACCCCAGCTGAAAGGCCCCCCGCCCGAGGGCAGCAAGGGTCCCTTGAGCTCCTGTCAATGTTTCCCAAAGGATCCAGAGAAATAGCACATAGTATGGGAAGGGTGACCAAGCTGGTGTGCTCTCTGCTTCGGGCTGGAATTACACTAACAGAGTAGTGGTCACTCTGGCTTGCTCCCCCTGATCACCCAAGCCCTAGGGTCTGTAAAACAAGGCTTATAATCAATAAAAGGGAAGAAATGACTTGATGTAGGTTGTATGGGAGACAAAATCTTACCAAATATGAGGCTCGTGTGGAGGGAAAATACTAAGAGAAGCTTTGATGGCAAGAAGATCAGGAACCACTGAGCCAATCCAACTCTGTCATTTTACAGTTGAGGAAACTGAGGCCCAGCTTCTTCAGAGTGAAAGGGAAGGGGAAGGGGCTCTCCTCAGGTCCCATGGTGAAGTTAATGGCTGAATGCCAAGATGGTCGTCATAAATAGCTACCACTTGCTGACTCCAACTACCGGCTAGGGCCTGTGCCAGGGGCAGCAGGAGGGCAGAGCCATAGTCTGTTTGGTCCCCCCGGAACCCCACCATCTAACTCAGTGCTCTGCACCTAGCAGGCACACCATAAATCTTCGTGGAATGGAAGAATCATCTCCTTTCATCCTAACAACAACCCTGGAGATGTATATATTCATAGCCTCATGTTACAGATGAGTCAACAGGCCCAGAGAGGTGAAGTGACTTGCTCAAGATCTCAGGATCCAAGAGCCAGGGAACAACACAGTGGGGATTTGAACTCAAGTCTGTCTGACTCCAACTCCATGATCTTAACTACTATACGACGCCGTTCTGTGTCCCAGACATCACACCAATGCCTCTGCTCACCTCCGTGGTGGCCCCAACCGGGTGTGGGGCTGGCACTTGAAACTTTGCCATACCCAGGCCTTGGGGCTTGGCCACAAGGAGAAGCCAGAAGCCAGCAGTAAGTAGGGTATGCTGGGTCACAGAAGCCTGAGGGAGCTCCTCAGGGGTGAAGGTTTCTTCCTCTCCTTCTGTGACAGGCAGATCTGCCTATACCTCATCAAGCAAGCATCTCTGCTGTTGTGACAGGCGTCACTTTGTTATGGCAGTACCATCTGCCAGTGTACCCAAAGTTGGAGAGCCTGCAGGCAGCAGGAGCGTGCACGTGCGCGCGCGCGCGCGCGCTTGTGTGTGTGTGTGTGTGTGTGTGTGTGTGTGTGTGGTGCAGCCAGTCTCTTCATGTTGGTGTCCTGACGACAGTTTTTCATTTCCTCTGGCTGGCACCTTTCGTTTCTATTCATTACTTCTTCTCCCCTCTTTTTTCTTCCTCCTCCTCTTCTTTGTTAAAATGCTATATTGTGAAGCAACTGAAAGTCTCTGGGGGTTGGGGATGGTGGTGTCAGCTCCAAGTGATTCATCTAGCTGATAATTAGAGCTCTGGAAAACCCAAAACTCATTGCTGGCAGAGTCAGGGCTTGCTTCCGGAATCCCTAGGCTTTTCCCTTTGTCAGAGACAGAAGCTGGGGGGCCCTGGCCGGGCTCCTTTGTGCCTGCCTTTCAGTCCCCAACTATACTGAAGTGAGTGTGAGCACTCTTACGGGCCATGTCCCGTGAGAAGCTGTTTCCATCCTCACCCAATCCTCTCAGTGACCCCATGAAGTGTGATCCCTGTTCTGACACAACGGTAAGGTTGGGGAACTCACACGGAGTCACTCAGCTTGTGAGAGACGCAGCAAGGACTCACAT